GAAGGAGCTGCAGCCCGTGGAGCAGGCTCCATCCCATGATGGAGCAGGGAAAAGCGTGAGGTGGAATGAGCAGCAGAGGAGCCACTACAGACCGACTGTAACTCCCAGTTTCCCCTGTGGTGGGGGAGTTGTGGGGTGAAGCTGTGCCTGGGAAGAAGTGGAGGGGAAAGGTGTTCTGATTTATCTTTGTTTCTCACTGTCAGAACCCATTTTATTTGTCACAGGATCCTCAGAGTTAGAAGAGACCTCTAGACGTGATCTAGTCTAACCCTGCTGCTGAGGCAGAATTGCCCAGAGCACATCACACAAGAACGCCTCTAGGCGAGTTTTGAAAGTCTCCAAAGACAGATGCTCCACAGCCTCCCTGGGCAGCCTGTTCCAGTGCTCTGTCACTCTCACAGTAAAGAAGTTCTTCCTCATTTTTAGATGAAACTTCCTGTGTGCCAGGTTGTGCCCGTTTCCCCTTGTCCTGTCATTGGGCACCACAGAAAAGAGTCCGGCTCCATCCTCCCTGCACCCACCCCTTAGATATTTATAGACATTGATAACGTCTCCTCTCAGCCTTCTCTTCTCCAGGCTAATAAATAATTTGACAAAAAATTACATTAGTTTTCCCCAAGTTTGTTTTACCTGTGAAGGTAAGTGTTAGGCAGTTTCCCTGTCCTTACCTTGACCTTTTCCATCTTATTTTTTCTGCCTGTTCTGTAGGGGAGAGTGGGGTGAGAGAGCAACAGGGAGGGGATCTGGCAGCTGGGCAAGGTCAACCCACCGGACTTCCTTAGGGCTTTGTCTTTTTTGTTTACGCACATCCATGGACTCAACAGGTATCTTTTGCAAGCGTTTTGTGTAAGTTCTTAAATGTTTTCTTTACGCTATTTGCAGATTTCAAGTTTGGCTATGTTAGTGCCGTATTTTTAAAGTAACTTTTAGTGTGAATTCATTATGTTTCTTCCGCCGATTAAGTTGTGTGTTGCTTTTTCACTGATAAGTGAAATAAGTTCTTTACAGTACTAACATTACTTAATGATAATTAGTCTATACCAAGAAGTAAATCATAGTTTTACACTAGAAGTACTAAGAGGTAATCTTCTTAAAGAAAAAAATTAATTGTGGGCAGAATGTTTGATTTCAGAACTACGATCCTGTGGTTATAAACAACAATTTGCAGTGTTTTTTACTCTGCTTAAGCTCCTTTTAGAAGCAGCTGTTTTTATTGGTTTGGCTGAATCAAACGATTGATAAAAGAAGGTGTAAAGCCTTTCAATTAGATTGCTTTAGTTAAACTCAGTCCCGGGTGGAAGTGACTAATGATTGTTCCTGTCTTGTTGCTTAGTGATAATTGTGCAATAAATTAAGCTTCAGTCCAGATCTCATAGCTACATGGTGCGCTGCTCTGGTTGGTAAAGTGCACTTGTTAACAAGTTTCAGCAAAGGCCAAGGGCAAACTGAATCTGGAAGCAGCGTGTTTCATCACAGGTGATGGTTGAAAGACTGTGACAGAATATGAGGAAGCCTGCACAGTTTCTCCTTGTGTACTGTTCTGCTGAGAAATAACTTTGTTGGTCAAGGTTGTGCATTTATCTAAATGCAGTGGCTTTGCTGTGGAGTGGAGTTGTTTGAGGCATTTGGAAAATGCTTCCGTTTATTCAGCTTAACTTGGTAGTAAATGTGGTAAGAGAACAGGGATAGAAACTCCCAGAAAGGTTGCTGGAGCTTACCTGTGGATTTTAATTTCTTTTACTGTAATGATTTCGGTTAGTCAGAATAGTTGTAAACAGTGAGGTGCATTTTAGCTTTGATTATTTTACCATTATATTACAACCTCAGGATGTATTTGATGTTATATTCTCAGCGTCGCATTGATTTGGTATTTTTCGTTATTCTTTCCTAGTATTTGTGTGATAGCAAATTTAATTGTTGTATGTGTCACTGATACAGTTTTATCTGTGCTCCGTATCATCCAGGAAGGCAGACTTATTTATTCCTTAGATGCAGAAATTAGGTAGCAGATGCAGCTAATGCCAAGATGTCTTTTGTTTAATTTCTGCATTGTTAATTTTAATCTTTGTTTAATTTAATGTATTATAGATTGAATATGAGCTGGCATATAATGCTGCTTTTCAAGTAGTTCTAGTGTTGTTGATTGTTAGCCAGTCCTGAAAACTTCCCAAGTAGAAGTTTAATTTTGGGGTTCTAGTTCTGAGGACTAGTCCAAATTCAAAAGTTTTTGCAGATGTTTCTTCCTTTATTACATTCACAAGACTATCTTCTAGCATGTAGAAGGTAAGATTCCCATTTGCTAAACAGAGATTTCCCATTGTCTGGATTTCTGAGAAAGTGGCTTCTCTAAGCCCATTGATGCTGGGTTTTTATGCTGTTCTCAGCTGACCTTCCTAAATGTATTACACAGCCTAGCTTCCTGATTTAAAACAAAACCCCCTCAGTCAGTCCTCAAAGGACTTCAAAGAGAGCTTGTGGAGTACCATTCATTATGGTGCTTGCTACCGTAATCTGCAGAATATGATTATTTCTCCTCTCATCTAACCCTGCTGCTGTTCCAAGCGGCAGCACTCCAAGCTGGCACTGTAGCTGTGCACAGCTCACTATGGCAGCTGCCAAGCTGATGTGAGTGATGCATTCCTCGTAGGGCTTCCTTATGTTTTATTGGGCTATTAAAATGGAAGTGGAGAAGTATCCAGCTGAACTTCCTTAGTAATAATAGCGTTTGCAACTCTAGAGCCAGCTCACTCTCTCTCTCTCTGTCTCTCTCTCCCCCTCCCCTTGGGTGTCTTGTGCCATGTTACAATTTTAAATTGGACAAGCAATTAAGCAAAACTGTTCTGTTTTTATTCAGGGTGATTTGTCGGTAACCATAGGTGTCGTTTTGGGAAGGAGTTACGCTCGTTTAATGAGCTGGACATGGGGGGAGATCACTGAGCTGTGTTGCAGTATTATGGACTACTTAAAATTGTTTAGCTTTAATTAATTAACCATTTTCTACAAACAGAGAAGCAGCACATTTAAAATGCAGACTAACCTATCGTCTGTGTATTACAAATGAGTATGATATTTCCCTCTGCCTGTTCACCTTCTACCACCTGAAGAAAAAGATGGTGTGATGGCATGATCTAAACAAGTGACTGGCTTTGGTGGTTTGATGTTTCTCACCGGTGGGTGATCGTAGAATCCTAGAACGTCTTAGGTTGGAAGGGACCTTAGAGATCACCTAATCCACCCTCCCTGCCATGGGCAGGGGTGCCCTTAACTAGACCAGGTTGCTCAAGGCCTCATCCAACCTCGCCTTGAACATCTCCAGAGAGGGGGCACCCACAGCCTCTCTGGGCAATCTATTCCAGAGTCTTGCCACCCTTGTACTGAAGAAATACCAGCAGAGGAGCTCCATCCTCCACCTTTGTGCCGTGCACTGACATGCAGTGGTGGCTCTGACCTGCGCGCTGTCCTTACGACTTCCCTCCTGGGAAGCTCAAATCTTGGCACTAAGGGATCTCCTGCAGGGGCTACTCAGAGGTGGGGAAGGCTGGGGAGCCTGGGCGGTGCGCAGCAGCACTTCGCTGCAAGAAAAAAACACCAAACCAGCAGAAAAGAGTTTCCCATGCCAAAGTGCTGCCTCAGAGCTTTCAGTGAGGGAGTGCTGCGATGGCGTAGGACTTCAAAGGGCCTTCTTCACTGTTATTTGGGAGTAGACAGCAAAATGTGCCACTGAGTAACTACTGAAATATCAGTGTACAAGGTAGAGCTAGGAGTTGGTGGTGCTTTCTTTTATAGCTCTTAAAGTTAAGTGTTATATTTAAATATTTATTTATTTATATTTATAGACTATGTAAGACATACATTCATCTATATTTTCTATATTTATATATTCATATTTTCATTTTTAGAGCTTACTGACTTTCTAGATGTTTTTATCATTTCAAGGAAGTTGAAGAGAGGGCTTTAAGTTCTTTCACCTTAAATCTTTTGACAGTAAACATGCTTCTTAACATCTGGTTGGCATAAATTATGAAATTCTGAGCCTTGTGTGAATGTTGTTATTGATTCTTGTCTCCCACGTCTTAAATCCATGTGACTTTTAAAGTTAAGAGCTGGCTGCGTAGATCCACATGAATTTGGCGTGCTTTCCTACTAGGCTGAGCATTAGTAATGAGTTACACCTTGCTGTGTGGTAGCAGCACACTGATTAAATGAATTAGTACAATGACAGCTCCTTATAGCAAGTCAGTCCTGCAACTTGTGCTTACTGTTAATTCCTCTAAATGTAAAAAATAATTTATAATTTTATTCCCTTAAATGAGAAATGGACACATTATAAGCTTATCAGTGGTCTTTCATATTTTAATTAAGAAGTAAAGCCTATCTTTTTTTTTTTAAAAAAAAAAGTAATATTTTTAACCAGCATTACTGGACACTTTAAAGTGAAGTGTTATAGAGTGTTGTGTGAGAAGTCTATCATAGCAAATATAAATAAAATTGAAGAAAACTTGCAGTACTGAGGTACTTATTTTTCTGTGCTTAGCATGGACTGGGAAAGACTAGTAGGCAGAAATAACAATGGGCTACAGTATGGCAACAGTAGTTTTAGATTATGAAAAGTTACAAACTCAAATGTATAAGCTTATGCTAAATTTTACAAAGCAAATGGGAAGACAGAAATGGCTGGGGCAGGACATATTTGGACAGTGTCTGGTGTTTCCTCTTTAAACAGGTTTTCACCTTTCTTCATTTTTTTTCCCTCCTTGTACAGTGGAGACAATGGTATCTTTTAAGTTCTAAAGGTTGATTGTATACAGATGTACCTACCTAAGGTGGTGATGTCTGAAACAGTTTATTAACAGTCCACATGGAATATTAAGTATTTGATGTCAGCTGAAATGGATCTAATCTAGAAACTATATAAATGGCATTCTTCATGTCTTATAATGCAATGCACTGTGGTTTTTTTATCTTGTGTAATATTTTGACTTTTTTTGTTTTGAATGCAGAGGTATTTTCTTGTTGGAAGTAATCCTGCAGAAACTAAATACCGTGTTTTGAAAATAGATCGCACTGAACCAAAGGATTTGGTTGTAATTGATGATAAGGTGAGTGCGTCTCTAATTTCTTTTTTGGTTATTCCAAATAAATACTGTCTATACTGAGCTGAATTTAAATATTACACATTTAATCTGTTTCAACAAAATTACGTTACAGAATTATAGAATCATATAACAGTTGAGACTGGAGGGGATCTCTGGAGATTGTCTAGTCCTACACTCACACTCAGAGCACTGTCAACTAGGTTGCTCAGGACCATGCCTAGTCACGTTTTGAATACGTCTGGGGACTCCACAACATCTCTCTGCAACCTTTTCTGTTGTTCAGCCATCCTCACAGTACAAAAGCTTTTTCCTATGTTCAGATGGAATTTCCTGTATTTCAATTTGTGCCCGTTGCCTCTTGTCCTTTGACTGGATACCACCAAGAAGAATCAGACTTCTTTACTTGCTTCTGCAAGTTATTTATGCACACTGATAAGATCCCTGCTAAGCTTTCTCTTCTGCAGGCTGATCAATACCAACTCTCTCCGATTCTGTGACTCTCTGATTCTCCTTGTATGTCAGATACATACAGTATTAGGGACCTTCACTTTAATGAAATTTTCTCATGTTCAGCTATACTGTTCTAAGTGCAAACTATATATAATAACTATCTAGCCAAGTTTTTAACATATCTGTTGTAATGTATCTGAAGCAAAATAAGCAGCAGCAAGAGTTTTAATGCACATGTTAGAGTAAGAAGTATATGATTTACAATCTTAATGCCTAAGACTTACATGTGACCACGACTCTTTCTGTTGCACTGTTTTTTGTGTAAAAAACTTGTTGGTAGGACCGAAGCATGACACAGAGGATGTAGAGCAGATGTTTGGTTTATTGTGTATTAGGTAACTTCTACTATTCTCTGACATGAAATAACATTTAACAACCAAAGCATTGACTTAAGTGATCGTTTATTTTAAAGCATGTGTATACACAACAAGAGGTGAGGGAACTTCTTGGACGTTTAGACCTGGGAAACAGAACAAAGATTGGTCAAAAGGGCTCTTCTGGGTTATCTCGAGCCGTCTCTGCTTTTGGTGTAGTAGGTAAGTGTTTCCTTTGGTTTTATAAAATCTCTTGTTTCTTAAGGAGCTGATGCTTACTGTGTCATACTATATATATATTTTTCTATCTCCTCTTGATTTTATTTCTTTTAACTGAATAGGATTGAGAAATTTTGTTCTCAAAGATAAATAAGTTTCTTTGTGAAAACGAGTGGGCCAGTACAGGGATGAGAGTTTTGCTGTAACTAGCCTCTTGTTTGTTACTATGGGAGAGATCTGGGAAATATCTGAACTCTAGAAGCTTGGTTGAAGATCTCACCAAACTCAACTGATTGTAGAATACAAATCGTGGAACCTGGCCTCCTGAATTCCAGATTTCACAGAATGTTTTTTTTAAAAGAAAACAAAAATTGACATCCTTTATTAGGTTTTATTTCTTCATCACACACTTTTCAGAAAGATGACTTAATCTTCCTTTGGATTAACTTTTTGCAATGACATATTTAATTATTTCCTTTACATATTTGAACAGGTATAACTGACTACAATGTCAATTGAATTTTTGAATGCTGATCAGCTGTCCGTAATCCTAGAGAACTGCTTCAAGGATTTGATAGTGTCTTCTTAGGAAGGTCACTACTTTCCTCCCTGTTGTCAGACACTGAGGTTGATATATTGATGGGTGATGTCTTGAAAGTAAATGTTGATGTGAGCTCTTACAGCCCCCAAGAATACTTTTTTTGCTTTATTTGCATCGAAGTACACTTGAAAATCTAAATCAAAAACTGCAGAGGAAGTGGAGAATGTAATTACTTTAAAAGATGCTTCTGAAATTTGCATTATTAACCAAAACATAGGAGAATATTATTAGTATTCCAGTGTAAAGCGACAGATAAAGCAAACTTTCTTTTGTATTCTTTTTGCCCATAAAGTATTTTGTAACTTATCCATGAATCCACTTTTCAAAAATTCCTTACATGAGGTTTATGTTTTATTAATAATATGGGTAAACCTAAAGAAGCGTCTAACAGTCTTGCAGCATTGGGATTTTTTGCACAAGCCATTAGTCCTCACTCTCTAAATATACGATAATACCTTTGGTTAGAGAGTGGTGATGTTCAATGAAAATTTTGCATCCCAACTGTATATTTGTTTACGTGTACTCTTTCTATTCTGTAGCTGGACAGCTACATTGGTTATCAGATATGGTGTACTATTTTGTTTTAGAAGTAACATGCTTCGTGATCTTCAGATTATCTTGCACTTCTAAAGTACATCCTTTAGACATCTTTCATCTTGACCTTATCTAATCATGTCTGTATGAACATATAATTTGAGGGAATGCAACTGGTTGTTTATTTCTGTTTTCTGGCTCAGGTCAGGAAGACAGGGCTATTTTCTGCAGGATTGGAACGGACAGCTTTGTTCTGTTCTTTGATTATTTTGTTAAACAGAGACAGTGCATTCAGTGCACTCAAATGGAGGTACTGATAGGCTAGGTTCTGGTTCACTGAGGAATGTTTAAAAGTAGAAATCACTTTTCACTGCAGAGAACCAGGCCAAGGGGCAAGGCTGGGTTCCTCATCAGACTTTGGTATAATACTTAGTGAAATTCAAAGGAGAGAAGCTGTTCACGTGATTTTGGTATCTGGAGGATACAGGAAGAACTTTGCTATTTAACAACTGAAATTCAATAGTCTGGCTGCTTCGAAGACTTTTTTTCTTTTTTTCTTACTGTCAGCAGGGTCTCCTGTCCTTGTGCAGGTGAGAGCATTTTTCCAAGGGAGGCTAATAAGGCAGAAGAAAAATTGCAGTTCATGCAATCACATTGCAGCCTCCAGCAGTGACAAGGAGGAAAATACGTGCTTTTCTCATCCTTCTTTAATTTGTAATGCAAAACTGAAAGGATTGAATATAAATACAAGTAAAAATGTGAATTGTGGGATGTAGGGGTTTGACCCTGACCGGCAGCCAGGTGCCCACACAGCCACTCTACCACCCCCCCTTCTCTGCTCAGCAGGGGGAGAAAATACATTGAAGGGCTCAAGGTTTGAGATAAGGACAGAGAGATCACCCGCATCTACTGTCACAGGCAAAACAGACTCAATTTTGGGGAAATTAGTTAAATTTATTAAAGAACAAAACAGAGAAGAGCAGTGAGAGATAAAAACAGATCTTAAAAAAAATCAACCCAGCACCTTTCTCCCATCTCTTCCTTCCTCATGGGCAAAGCATCAATCCCAGTTTCTCCACCTCCCCCCGCTGAGCGGGGCAGGGGGACAGGGAATGGGGGCTGCAGTCCGTTCATCCAATGTTGTTTCCATCACTGCTTCTTCCTCTGAGGAGGACTCCTCACTCTTCCCCATGGCCATTGTGGGGTCCCTCTCACGGGAGATGATCTTCACACACCCTTTTGCAATATGAGTCCTCTCATGAGGGGCAATTCATCACAAACTACCCCAAGATGAGTCCTCTCACGAGGTGCAATCTGCCCCAAAGTGAGTCTGGGGTGCAGTCCTTCGGGAGGAAACTGCTCCAGTGCAAGTTCCCCACCATCACAGAAGTCCTGCGAGACAACATGCTCCAGTGTGGGCTTCTCTCTTTCCACAGGCTATAGGCTCTGGCAGCAACCTGAACCAGTGCAGGCTTCCAATGGGGTCACAGCCCCCTTGAGGCATCCATCTGCTCAGGCGTGCGGTCCTCAACGGGCTACAGATGGACATCTACACCCTGTCACATCCATGGGCTGCAGGGGGACAGACCGCCTCACCATGGTCTTCACCATGACCCAGGGGACTCTGCTCCGGCACCTGGAGCACATCCTCTCCCCGCTTCTTCACTGACCTTGATTTCTTCACATATTCTCACTCCTCTCTCTCTGCCAGTTGTTGTGTGGTGCAGTTCTTTTTTCCCTGTTTCTTAAATATGTTTTCACAGAGGTGCTCCTGTCCTGTCATCACTGACAGGCTCAGCCTTGGCCAGTGACGGGTCCATCTTTGGAGCTGGCCGGCATTGGCCCTGTCAGACCTAGAGGAAACTTCTAGCAGCTTCTTGCAGAAGCTCCCCCTACAGTCCCCCCCCACCACTGAAATATGGCCAAGCAAACCCAATACATGGGGATGTATGGGTTTTTGTTTTTTTTTTTCTCTCTCCCAATTAATATGTTTGTTGACAGTGCAGCAGTGACTAGGTTTCAGGCTCTTTACTGCTAGCAGTCTACCAAAGCCACACCTCAAATGCTGTGCTCAGTTTGGAGCCCCTCACTACAAGAAGGACATTGAGGTGCTGGAGCGTGTCCAAAGAAGGGGTAACAAAGCTGGTGAAGGGTCTTGAGAACAAGTCTTATGAGGAGCTGCTGAGGCAACTGGGGTTGTTTAGCCTGGGGAAAAAAAGGCTTTGGGGAGACATCACTCTCTACAACTACCTGAAAGGAGGTTGTAACAAGGTAGGGATCAGTCTCATTGCCAAAGTAACAAGTGACAGGACAAGAGGAAATGGCCTCAAGTTGTGCCAGGGGAAGTATAGGCTGGATATCATGAAAAATTTCTTTACTGAAAGAGAAGTGAGGCATTGGAATAGGCTGCCCAGGAAAGTGGTAGAGTTGCTATCCCTGGAGGTGTTCAAAACACATGTAGACGTGGCACTTTGGTACATGGTTTAGTGGTGGACTTGGCAGTGCTAGATTAATGGTTGGACTCAATGGTCTTAAAGGTCTTTTCTAACCTAAACAATTCTATTCTATAAAGCAGCTACCTCCAAGAGCTAATTCATGTGATTTAGTTATTAAAACGTAATACTGGTGTATCACTGCCTATACAGTATTAAAAAGAAATGCAGGTTCAGAGGTGATTGTGTATTCCTACTTTTAATTTGAATTTATACATTTGTATTGTAGTTTAAAGGTTTGTTATGCTTTTTCCTTATTGTGTGTAATAGAGGCATCCAAAGAAGCAACTCGGTGAAGAAGCATGGCTATACCCTGTAGTGTTATGGAATGAGGATGGAGGCTTCAGAAGGCTTCCTTTTGCAGGCGATAAAGCCTGACACTGCTTATTCTACCTCCTTAGTCCTCTGGACTTCAGTGTTGGTGTCTGAGAGAGAAAATAGAAAGAAAGGGTTACCCTTGATGCTCCAAAAGGCTAATATAGGGGAGATGCTGCTGTAGACAGGGAATTTAATCCCTGCTGTTAAGGAGAGAGAGCACAAAGGTGTTGTAGTACTCTTATCTTCTTTTGCTGTTCTGTGCACCTCCCCAGCAGGCAAGACACAAACGTGAAAAGAAAACTGGAGTTTGGGATTCCTCCTTGCCCTTGAAAATTAACCTTTTGGGATCTTTTAGGGCATGCTTTGCTCTGAGCAGTGAGTTTCCTATTAAAAGCAAATACAAGTATCTTAAGTAGACAGCAGCTTATTCTGAGTTTTCAGTGTCTTAACTTTGCTATCTAATGTTACAAATATACATAGTGGAAGGGAAAAAAAGTAAAAAAAACTATGTACTTCATTAATTGTCACTTACTGGCAGTGAGTTGTAAGACTGTGGCTATATGTATGTATATATTTGTATGTGTAAATATATGCACTTTTTATATATAACATTAAGAACAAACAGAAATTCTGTGAAGTTTTGAAACAAGTCTGATACTGTTTTTCTAAATATGTTTGATCAAATCAATGCACACATCCAAGTAATAGCATTTTAATGTTGTTTTAACAGGTTTTGTCAGGTTTTTGGAAGGCTACTACATTGTGTTAATTACAAAAAGAAGAAAAATGGCAGATATTGGAGGTCATGCCATATATAAAATAGAAGATACAAATATGATCTACATTCCAAATGACTCAGTAAGAGTCACTCATCCTGATGAAGCCAGGTAAATAATGGTGGTAAACAGTGTGTACTTTCTGAATATTTTCTAAGCAATGGTGAACTGCATCTAGAAGTTTCAGTCACAGATTTCGTTCTGTTAGTATGTCATTCCAGCCATTTTATCTTTGTTGATAAATTAGTGTGGAAGAATGGAGAATGGACCACAACTTCCGTGGCCCCTAACCTGGAGGGTGACTATTAAAATCTTTCAGAGCTTTTTGTCCACATCTCCGTATCTCCTAAATGTCAAAGCTACATCCTAGGAAATGTGCACCCAGAAGCATCCAATTTAAACATTGCTCTTAAAAAGCAAAGTAATGCTAATACTGGTTTATATTGTTTTGGATAGTGTTCTTTTGTTAGTAGCTCTAGCATCATGTTAATCTCACCCGAGGAGATCTTTGGTGCCCTTCAAAAAGTGTTAAGTAGATTATTTAATGATTCTGTGCTGTCAGAATCTTACAAGTGCTGCTGTTGTAAAGGGTGACAAAGTGACCCACTGGTAAGTTTAATTTCTTTTTTCCTTCTGTGACGTTTTTCTGAAGAAATAAATTTGAGCCTTTGATCAGCAGGGAAACTTGTATGAAATGTACAACTACATCCTGGTGGGGTTTTTATCAAGGTGGGGTAATTTCATTTCTGTATATACCAGGCAAATGGTATCAATAAACTCTTTTTAGTCTGTGCCAAGTGTGAATATTCAAAAAGTGATGGGTTATGATAAACTGATATCGGATTATAAGTCAATGGTAACTATTACAGATTCCACTTTAAGGTATGACTGATCATAAACCTCAGTCTCCTCCCTTAGAGTGCAGCGGTGTGTATTATCTAGCCTATATAGTTATAGTGTTAGCTATTTTATCATTCTGTCAGGGGTTAGGGCTGGGCTGGCTACTGAATGCTGACAGATGCTCTCTAACCCCTCTCCCTCCCCAAACAGGAAGGGAGAGATGTACAGGCTGGAAAAGAAAGCTAAAGCAGCTTTAATAAACAATAAAAGTACTAATAAGGAAATAAAGACAATAATGAAAATATATACAACCAATATTGAACATGACTCCACCTCACCCCGTTCCCCTCCCCCCCATCCACCCCGCATATCAATCCCCACTGATGCTGCAGGGCTGGGAAGCCCCAGGCTCAGGGGCAAAGGGAAACCAGACACAGGATTCAGGAACTCAGGACTGAGATCAAAGGCAGAAGATCGGATGGAGTTGTCCTTGGACACCAGTTGTTGAAGAAGAATCCTTAACCTCTGTGATCCTTCAAGTTTATACGGAATATGATGTATATGGAATGGAATAGTCTTGCTGGTCACTGTCCTGTCCATTCCTCACTGGAGGTGCAAACTTTTACTTCCTTGTGACCTTTTTACTTCCTGACTACCCCAATATGTTACACAAGATCTGGCAGTGACCTTGGTCACTATTGGAGCAAATATAAGCAAGAGCCTTTCTGCATACCAATCTCTGGTAGTAACTGTAAACGTCAGGTGTTACCAGTTCCAGCAGCAGACACTGTCTGCAGAAACATGCTGCTGACTTCAGAAAGTGCAGCTTCTTAGAAGAGACTGAGCTGATACGTAAAATCGCTGGACAGAATTGCTTCTCTTTATAGGATCATAGAATCACTAAGGTTGGAAAAAACCTTTAAAAACATCAAGTCCAACCATCAACCCAACTCTACATGCCCACAAGTCCAACCATCAACCCAACTCTACCGTGACCACTAAACCATGTCACGAAGTGCCACATCTACATGTTTTTTGAACACCTCCAGGGATGATGACTTCCACTGCTTCCTTGTTCCAATGCCTCACCGCTCTTTCGGTAAAGAAATTTTCCCTATTATCACATCTAAACCTCCTCTGGTACAACTTGAGCCCATTTCTTCTTGTCCTGTCACTAGTTACTTGGGAGAAGAGACCAACACTTACCTCACTAAAACCTCCTTTCAGGTACTTGTAGAGAGCGATAAGGTCTCCTCTGAACCTCCTCTTTTCCAGGCTAAACAACCCCAGTTCCCTCAGCCACTCCTCATAAGACTTGTTCTCCAGACCCCTCACCAGCTTTATTGCCCTTCTCTGGACACACTCCGGCACCTCAATGTCTCTCTTGTACTGCGACGTCCAAAACTGAGCACAGTACTCAGGCTGTGGCCTCACCAGTGCTGAGTACATGGGCATGATCACTTCCCTACTCCTGCTGGCCGCACTATTTTTGATCCGGGCCAGGATGCTGTTGGCCTTCTTGGCCACCTGGGCACGCTGCTGGCTCATGTTCAGCCGGCTGTCCCCCATCACCCCCGCATCCTTTTCCACCAGGCAACTCTCCAGCCACTCCTCCCAAGCCTGTAGTGCTGCCTGGGGTTTTTGTGACCCAAGTGCAGGACCCAGCACTTGGCCTTGTTGAACCTCGTTCACCTGGCCTTGACCCATTGATCCAGCCTGTCCAGGTGCCTCTGCAGTGCCTTCCTGCCCTCGAGCAAATCAACACTCCCACCCATGGCCTTCTTGCCCCCCTGGGCACGCTGCTGGCTCATGTTCAGCCGGCTGTCCCCCATCACCCCCGCATCCTTTTCCACCAGGCAACTCTCCAGCCACTCCTCCCAAGCCTGTAGTGCTGCCTGGGGTTTTTGTGACCCAAGTGCAGGACCCAGCACTTGGCCTTGTTGAACCTCGTTCACCTGGCCTTGACCCATTGATCCAGCCTGTCCAGGTGCCTCTGCAGTGCCTTCCTGCCCTCGAGCACTCAGCCACTCCTCATAAGACTTGTTCTCCAGACCCCTCACCAGCTTTATTGCCCTTCTCTGGACACACTCCGGCACCTCAATGTCTCTCTTGTACTGCGACGTCCAAAACTGAGCACAGTACTCAGGCTGTGGCCTCACCAGTGCTGAGTACATGGGCATGATCACTTCCCTACTCCTGCTGGCCGCACTATTTTTGATCCGGGCCAGGATGCTGTTGGCCTTCTTGGCCACCTGGGCACGCTGCTGGCTCATGTTCAGCCGGCTGTCCCCCATCACCCCCGCATCCTTTTCCACCAGGCAACTCTCCAGCCACTCCTCCCAAGCCTGTAGTGCTGCCTGGGGTTTTTGTGACCCAAGTGCAGGACCCAGCACTTGGCCTTGTTGAACCTCGTTCACCTGGCCTTGACCCATTGATCCAGCCTGTCCAGGTGCCTCTGCAGTGCCTTCCTGCCCTCGAGCAAATCAACACTCCCACCCAACTTGGTGTCATCTGCAAACTTACTGAGGGTTTACTTGATCCCATCATCCAGATCAAACCAGGACACGTTCAAAGACAACATTCTAGTTTCTTCTGAGAATTTGCAAGGGTATGACAGGTTGAAGATGTTCTTCTTCATTTATATGAGAATAATTGAAACTCTTCAGCTCTTCTGCAGTATTGTTGGGAGTTTGCTTGTGTAAGTCCTAGAGAATTTGACCCATATATGTGGCAAATAGAATTACAACTTTATCTACAACTTCCTAAAATTCCTGAGTATGTGCATGAGTAGACACTGGATTTTTTTTTTTTTTAAAGGCTATTTCATTTATTTGATTCAGATGCGGACATTCTAGCGGAATACCTGTCAAAACAATTACAGTAAGATAGGTAGGGGACATATGCTAAGAGCCAATATTTTTATGTAGTTTAATTTCTGAGATACTCTGAATGGATTGTTTAGGTCTGTCTGGTTAAACTAATAATTTTCCCTTGAATTATTTTGCTAGGTATCTGAGAATCTTTCAAAATGTGGACCTTTCTAGTAACTTCTATTTTAGGTACGTATTAGTTATTAATTCCTTTAAAAATGTATATATGTATGCCTATACTTGCTGTAAGATTCTGCTTTTGGATTTTGATATGAAGATCTTTGGGTTTGTACTGAGGGGAAAACATGTGTGTGATCACATTGCTTGTCCACTTTCCTCTCTGTGTTTTGAGCCTGCTTCTCCTTCAACAAATTGACCAGGAATGTAGTCTCCATGAAGTTTAAAACTATAGAACTATTAGTGCTAGAAGGTCGACACTGAAATTACTGTTCCTACTGACTGTTCAAACTTCCCAGATTATGCAGACGTTCTCTCTTTGGAAAAGTATTATATGTCAGGTGGGTTGCTCATCCTGTCAGTTTTCCTTTCTTGATCTTGTTTTCCAGAAATAAAGCTTTGCCTTGATTTGGAAATAATGATAGAGAAATAGGTCCTCATCTAAGATGTACCCTGTGTAGGGTACGTCTTTCATAGGGTCTTCTAGGCATTACCCATTCTCTTGGTTACTGTTTCATAAATGCCATACCTAAGAGAAGTTTCTGTGTCCCAGCTACTGTTACACATGGGATTTTTGGGACAGCAGAAAAATGAGAGAGATGTGGTGATAAATATGGCAGTAACAGTTAGAAGACTTTGACCAAAAAATTAAAAAAAACCCCTCTTGCAAGTCCCGAAAGATGTGTCAGTCTAGAAGTTACCATTGGTGATAATCTTAATGTCCAATGTTTAAATAATTATTTTTATTAGATCATTAATGAGTATCGAGAACTTACAGGAGAGCCAGTAATCATTAATGCTGTCCTAGGCTAAAATGGAAATCTGTGCATACTTCTCATTCAAGTGTTGTGTACATTTGGTTTCTCTTTGGGGAAATGAATCCGAGTGGCTTATAAAATTTAGCAATTAGTGTAGAGTGTTGTCAGTATAATGACATGAGATGCAGAATTTGTTACTGTTATGGAACTAATGAAAACACAAACATCTTTTTGTTTATTCAGCACTCACTGTCTTAACATACATCTGTGCTGCAGTCACAAGTTGGAGGACAGATACAGTTTTGCAGACCAAATTTTTGGCTGGTTTGAGTTCAGTCAGAAAGTAGTACTTAAATCTCAGAAAAATGAGGTTGTCTGTGTATGGATATTTCTGGTGGAAGAGCTATTTTTGGTCTTCAGAACTGCTTCTTGGGGCACAGTGAATTAAATCTGTTGATATGCTTTGTTCAAAAGGCATGTTCAGTTTTTATTTATTACAAGAATATAAATACAATTTCAACTATTGTACTGTAAACAGTTTCTGTGTAAAGTCTCTTTTGGAAATCATTTGTATTATTTGTCTTTATAGAATTAGAATCTGTGTATCTTGTTTAAAAGCCTTTTTTTATAACGGATAAAATAGTACCATGTTAAAGGTAAGTACAGATGGAGAGTGAGGGTCTTCAGAAAAGGCCTGTGCATCTACAGTTATTAATAAATGTTAACTGTCTATCAGTTACAGCTATGATCTGTCTCACTCCCTTCAATATAATCTTACTGTCCTGAGAATGCCACTTGAGACATTAAAAACTGAAACAGCCCAGACCCGACAAGAGAGTTTTGATATATTTGAAGATGAAGGACTTTCAACACAGGGTGGAAGTGGTAAGCGCACAGCCCTAATTAAACTAATGTTGTTCATCATGAATACATATAGCATATGCTTAAGTTTACTTCTGAGAAACATTTGAGTCTTCTCTGTTGCTCAATGATCTTGTAATAGTCATGAGTTAATAGAAGATTACATAAAGTGCAAATTACAGACATTTAAATTTGAACAATGCAATTTCTAGAGGTGATTAATCATTGCTTTGTTAATTTACATCACAACTCAGACATAACTGAGCATGCTGATGCTATTTAACCATTGATTATGCAACTGACTTCTAAGATTCCACAGACGTGTGAAGTACAGAGAGAGTGGGAAGCAGTAACTGGTTAAGTACAAATAAATCTTTTTTTTTTGTGTTGGAAAATACTGATGACAGAAGAATTGTGTGAAATTAGTATCAACTCGATGTAGTAAGAACTACTGGGAAGTATTAATTGCTGATTTCAGGTGAAAATTGCAGCCTTCACTTTGGATCTGGCATATTCATAAGAGTGTAAAGAGGATCAGTCAGACAGAAAAACTATTTTCTCTCCCTTTTGTTTCACTTTCACACATACACACAAAAAGTTTCCCCTGAAATTCTTAGTATTGGACTTCTTTCCATTGAAGTTGATTTTTTAAATGTTTTATTGCCCTATGACTTGTACTAATTATCTGAATGCTTGTCAAAAAATTACTTTTTTAAAAACCTTTTTGTCATTGTATATATGACACCACTTTTTTCCTTGTTTAATTGTGAAATATCAGAAATAACAGTGCCTTCTTAGGTAGTAATAGAACACTAGGCCTTTTAAATACGTCACTGATAAACAAAACAATAGCATAGAGAAAGTCTACTAGTGTTTTGTTTAATGCTACAAATTTGATATGGAAGCCAGCTTAGATGCAACATAGTTTGAACACAGAAATGCCTGAAACAACCCCTGACAGATTTTATGCAAGATAAAATTGGACACTGTCCACCGTTTCATTTCTGACACCCTTTTATCACAACACCTACAACAGACCTATGTCGAAGAATGATAATGAACGTTAAGTAAGTAACTAATCATCTTGGGTAATGGAGCTTGCTGTGTTCAGTAGTTGTCAACTATCACACGTCCATTTAAAAGCCAAAAGTAGTGCTGTATACAGTATGCCCTAAATCTGATGGAAAATTTGAAAGATAATCCAATAATATATTTCCTTTTAAAGAAAAGTGATCCCCCCCCTGCCCAAGGAAAAGATGACAGACTGAAAGAGTTGGGGCTGTTCAGTCTGCAGAAAAGAAGGCTCTGAGGAGACCTTATTGTGACCTTCCAGTATCTTAAGGGGGCCGACAAGAAAGCTGGTGAGGGGCTTTTTAGGATGTTGAGTAGTGGCAGGACTGGAGGGAATGGATTAAAGCTAGAGATGGATCAGTTCAGATTGGACATTAGGAAGAAGTTCTTCCCCATGAGGGTGGTGAGAGACTGGCACAGGTTGCCCAGAGAGGTGATGGAAGCCCCATCCCTGGAAGTTTTTAAGGCCAGGCTGGATGGGGCTCTGAGCAGCCTGATCTAGTGGGGGACATCCCTGCCCATGGCAGCGGGGTTGGAGCTAGATGATCTTTAAGGTCCCTTCCAACCCTGACAATTCTATGATTCTGTGTTAGTAACGTGGTGATATATATCAGAATATCAGGAACTGGTTGTCAAATACTGCAATGATTAAAATGGCCGTAAAGAGTGGAGGGAGCAATAATTCCTCCTCTGCAAAGGCTCTTATCTGCAGGGTCCCTCAGGAATCCATACAATGGCATCATCTCTTTTATGTCTTCATGAAAACGTTGGGAAACAAAGATGCCATAGCCTTGACCCCATCAGCAGCATGCTGATAGCACACATGACTCCATTTCCAGTAGATATTAGTAACACATCTGTTCTTATGATAGAAGATGTGTAAGAAACACATTGCTGATGAAGTGCTTGTGGCCAGGTTCTGCTGAGTGTACGCACTCCTTCACTAAAATGGTTACATCAGTTTTCCCTGGGCTTGTGGTAAATTGGGTGACTAGGTAGCAACAATTTGTTCAACAGCTGCACTTTTACCTTCAGTCTCATCGTTTTACCCAGCAGAACAGTTGGCTGCTCTAATGGATATACGTACTGATATGATATAACTCATCCTGCCAAAAACTTAATTTGAAAAAACTACACAAAATGTAGGTAATAGAAGACTTGTCCTATTCCTTCCCTATAAGATTGAGACTCATTCATTTCCTTTAATCACCTTTTCGTGCCAGTTGTCATCTTGGTCCTGATGTATTGAAACAGAAAAAGGCTCAGGTTCCAGATATATCAAAAATTGAATTTTAATTTGTGGATCTACAAGAACTGCATTTCTTGGTGTCAGTGCAAATTAGAAAAAAACTATGATAAATTAAATGAGGATTGATGTGCTTTTTGTAGAAGAGGGTCAGGGCGTGATCATCCAGAGTCTAGCAGGTAATTCCAGAGCTGACCCAGAATTTAAAAGCTTATGGAGTCCTCTTATGAAAGTATTTTTCGTGTTAACTGGAATTCACAACTTATTTCCCTTATTAGCAAATCATCTGGTGCTACCAGGCAGAGATCTCTTTTCACTACTGAAACTTCCGCATGAAGGCACTCAAATAGTACTGGCAACCATAGAAAAATTATAAATCCTCATAAATTCTGACCTTCAGCGCGTGCCTGAAGTTATTTGTGTCTGGCAAACTTCAAAGATGCATGTAAATGATATGCTAAATTGCATTCAAGTGAAAATCAAAATAAAGATGCAATGAGCTGAATTTTAAAACAGTTCAGTGCAGATAAGCTGGTTTCTTAATTGCTGATGCATTTTTGTTTTAACAACTTCCTAGGTGTATTTGGGATTTGCAGTAAGCCTTACAAAAAGTATGTGTGGAATGGCAAGCTTCTGGAGGCAGTAAAAAATACTGTTCATCGTGACTGGCTGCTGTATATTATTCATGGATTCTGTGGGCAATCAAGTATCCTTTTAACGTTGCAACAAATGTTAGTTTATTGATATTTTTTTTAAAAAAAGTTTGAGCATGTGAAATGCATTGGATTATTTGTCAAGTACTTCCAATTTTAGAATTATTGGTTGGCTTTTATTTTCATTACTTTTCTAGGTTTTATGCTAAATAAGAAATACGTTTATGTTCTTGTAATAGGGCCCTGACAGAGGTAGACTCCATTCTCGGTGAGGCACTCTGACATGGGGTTTAGTAATAAAGAACTTGAGAGGATTTTAAGGCTCAGCTGTATTTTTTTTCACAGATGTTTGAGTCAAGAAGGGGAGAAAAGATAAACAGAACTGAATTGCTGATATAGAAATGTTTTTCTTATTAGTCTTCTTTAAAGCATTTTTTAGTAACTGAGATTTGCAGAAATTCTTTATTTGCTGTTTCCGTTGAAAGTGATGTCAGGCCTGTTGTGTAAAGAGAGTTGAGTAAACACTAGAACATCTGAAATCTTTTTCGATGACTATATATTCTTTAAAGTGGATAAATGAGTCTACGTACATTGTAGCAGGAGAAGAAGTCCAAATGCAGATCACACTCCAAAGAAATGCCATCTCAGTATCTTTGTTGATAAGAATTTAGTACACTAGGGAGACATTCTAATTCAATCATCAACAGTATCATATTGATTTAAAAGCCTGTCAACAAAATATCTGGGGAGGCGAATACAATTACAAAGTTAAGGTTAGTGGTATCTTTGCAGAATTAAATTTTACTTTTTCCTGATTTTAAGGTTGCTGGTCGTTGGCTTAGACTCCAGACAGCTAGATCTGTTTTCATATCACTATTTTTATTTTGTATCACTAGTTCATCTGTGGTCTCACTTAATCAAAGTAGTAGCTGTGGATCTGACCACCAGCATTTTGCCTGCAGCTACTTGGTGAGTGACAATAGCCTTTGCTCTAGCTATTTGACAAGCAAATGTCTTCTTCCCTCTTTCTTGTGCCTCCCTTATGCTAAGGAAGCAGCAGTAGTCACACCAGACATCCGATTCTATCTTTTTGTTTGTTTGTTTTTAATAAAAAGTAGCTTAAAAGAAAGCCAGCACTGCATCTGTAGCTGTTTGCCTCTGGCTTTCCATTGTTACTTAAGTAGTTGCAAATTTGCCTACTTTTCCAGACAAATAATTAGAGGGTGACTAATGTACCTCCTCTGAAAATAGAAGCTCCCAGGCTTTAATCCCAGAATTCACAACAGCTGTATTTGCAGCCCAAGGGGAATTTTCTGCTTATTTCACCTCCATTGTCACTTCATAAAATAGAAATACTTTTCTTCTGTATATTGCGAAAAGCAGTTGGTGTATTGTAATTTAGATTCCCATTTCAAAATTCCTAAAAAAAATTGTTGAAAAGGACAATGCTTTCTCTCAGCTGTAAAAAAAATTTGGTAGTGTACTCATCACTTGGTAAATCAGATGCTTCAGGGTCATTCTTTTCTAGAATTTATTTTTACTCACTTCAAGTAAATGAATGAAAAATTGCATGTGACATGTAAACCTTAACTTCTCTTTCAAGAATTGTTAATATACGGTCGCCCTATATATGTCACTCTGATAGCCAGAAGATCAAGCAAATTTGCTGGGACACGTTTTCTGAAACGAGGAGCAAACTGTATGGTAAAGTACATGGGATTTTAGGGATTCCTCCCTACCACCATAAAATATAAAAGTTTGAGCTTGACTAACTGGAGAAGTGAAATGTCTTAGAGGGTTGTTAGGGTTTTGGCTTAAATTATGCTATTAGATAATGTTACCACAGCTATCATTACATTTTTTAATTGAGGTAGTAAAGCTGTTCTTAAAATACTAAGTCTTAACCAGCAGTTCTTTTTTGCACTTAGAGATAATGTAGTTTCCCAAATAGAGAACAAATAAATAAATAAATCTGATACTATACTTTCAGGGACAGATGGACATTTAATCTTCAGTGGTGTTCTCATTGCTATGATTCGGTGTCTTACAGTTTAATTGTACTTTTTAATGATCAGTTCTCCTTCAGGCATGCAGCTCTGAAGTGTCATGTCTACATTGTGTATATTTCTGTTTGCTTTAGGGAGATGTTGCTAATGAAGTGGAAACTGAACAAATACTTTATGATGCTTCAGTTATGTCATTTTCTGCGGGGAGTTATTCTTCCTATGTTCAGGTTCGAGGATCTGTCCCTCTGTACTGGTCTCAAGATATTTCAACTATGATGCCTAAGCCACCCATAACATGTATGTACAAATTATTCATTGTGGTAGGTTATGGTTAGTGCTGTGTCCTTAAAGGAACCGCAGAGGGAATAAGTGAAAATTAAATGTGCAAAAATGAATGAATTGTCTATGCGTTTGTTCTTTAGGAAGCCATAATTTAAGGTAAATCAATGTTTTTAATAAACACCATGGCATACAGACATTCAACCATATAAAAAGCTGCATTTGATGTAATGGAATAGAAAAAATCTCTTCTTAGACTTCACATTCAGAAGTGGAATACAAACAACGTGTGTTTGAAATTGTGAGCTTTCTTTGTGCTTATTTTGTATACAAAGTAAGCTACATTGATCTTACTATTGTGCATAAAATTGTATACCTGTTAAAAAGGGTGGAAAATGTCTAAGCTAAGTTTAATGGGGCCAGAATAATTGCTCCTTGTAAGCATCTCGTAAAAGGTTTTATTAAGAAGTTGCTCTCAGTTTGCAAAAGGTAAGATTTATTTATTTTTAACAGCTTTTACATGAAAAGAGGGGTAAGTATGTAATTGTATCATTTATCAGAGAATTAGTATGTATTCTGTGAAGAGTAATTTTAAGGGAAAGTTATTTAAATTACTACAGCTCGCTTAATATCATCCTGAATATATGTATTTGTTGCAGTGGACCAAGCAGATCCTTTTGCACATGTTGCTGCTCTTCACTTTGACCAAATGCTTCAGAGATTTGGCTCTCCCATTATTATTTTGAATCTTGTGAAGGTACAATATCTTGAATGTGTTCTATATGTTATCTAATTTTTAATATGCTTATTTCTGTAGAGTGTCTGTGTAACTTTGGTTGTGTTCAAAAATAATAGTAACTTATAAATGGTGCATTTTCTTCATAAATGTCATCCTACAGAGTATAGTATATAGTTCTCTGTTTCCACTACCACCCTTCAAAAATAGAAGTTTCCCATGTTTGTAGACTTAGAGTAACCTTTGTTGCTTAGATGTAAGTCCAAACAAATTTGCCACTGAATTACTAAAACAGTATGGTACCATGCAAAGTGAGAGTTGATTGAGTTATTTGAGATACTGTGATGAAGACTTATCTTCTGTTGTTTGCTTCATCTGGTAGAATCGTGGAAGTATGAGCAGGAGAGGCAACTGAAGCATCAGGTGTTAGCAGACAGGCACTGCCACTGGCAGCAGGGCTGGACTCATGGGGGGAGTTTCATGATTGCTGCAATAATTCATTTCTCTCCTGCATGAGGGGCTGGGGTACAAAGCCTACATTCTCGTTGGCACTGTAATTTTGGTTATGACGTATTTGTGGCAGGGTTTGTCTGTTTTTCCATTCTGATCCAGCCTTTTGCTGTGGTGGTGTTTCTCTTCACATTTCAGTTTAATGTATTGATTTGTTTTGCTTGAGTCATATCTTATTTCTTTTTACTCTTTAAAAAAATCGTTTAATTTATCATGTTTTTCAGTAGAAAAGAGAATCTTCTTTGTGCGTGCAGGATCCATTCCTAATATAAAAAAATAGGGAAAATACTCAAGGAAGGCTTTTAAAACTCTAAATTGCGATAAATGGATGGGTAGTCTATTTTCTATTTCTAGAAGCTTTCCTGTGTAGGAGTGCTTTCAAGACTGTCCAAGAGTCTGTGGCATCAACTTAGGATACTATTTATTGGCAAGAAAATGATATTATCTTTTGCAGCCTTAGCCTTCAAAAACCACTATAGACCTTGACACGTGAATCATTATGTGCTTTTATTCACAGAGCTTTTGATACAGTGGCTGAAAATGCATCTGCCTCTTTCTCTCTCTGTAGATGCTCAATATTAGGATGCTAAAATTCATGTTCCTGTATTACTTTATGTACTGCTTGGGGTGGGGGGAAAGCAAGGACAGGAAGCCCCCAAGTCTGAACACCTTTTTTTGGATGTTTCTGTTGCTTTTACACATATGCTAAGCACTTCTATCTCCAGTACTTTTATTATTTGATTTATTAAGTGTTGATGAAATACAAATCTATGTCCTCCTATATCTGACTATCGTAGAAACTTATTAACTAGTAAAGACTGTATTAGGATTCTTTTGGGTTTGTTTATTTAGGACTGCTGTTAGATATTAAAAGTAATTTCTGTAACACAGATTATAGAAAACATATTGTAGAAAACATATGGTATATTCAGAGAATTGCAACATAATTCTATTTTTTTTAAATTATTGCAAAGCTGGGAGATGGGAGGTGTTGTTCCCATCTCTTGTCAGTAACAGAGAATTTACCTGGGTCCTCTTGTACCCTAGAACTGGATGGGATACTTTCCTCTCTGTCTTTTTCCTTGTCTTTGTCCATTTCCTCTGTACTACCACTTCTGTTTCCAGGTGCTCCTCTTTGGTCTTATAGGGTTCCATTTTTCAACCAATGAATATGCACAGTTTAAAGAGATGACTTTTAGTACTAGTACAGATCAATTGTTAAAAACTCAGAATGTTTAGATTTTTCTGTCTCTTCTGTTCTTAATTTAATTGTTCTACTTAGGAAGAACTGCCCACTGTTGTTACAGCTTCCACTTTTAATTTCTGTTATATATACATATATGTATAGGTATATGGGTATGTACATTTGTTAATGGAAATTGTAATGTTAATTTCCTTTTCTTTTTATTAAAGGAACGTGAAAAAAGAAAGCATGAAAGGATTCTTAGTGAAGAACTTGTCGCTGCTGTGACATACCTCAACCAGTTTTTACCTCCAGAGCATGCAATTATATATATACCCTGGGATATGGCCAAATACACGAAAAGGTAGAAAAGATCCTTCTGTGTACTCTTAGCCACAATGCACATAACTCTGTGCTACTGAGTGTGGTGCTTTTCAGTTGGATTTAGCTTAGGAGTGATAGGAAAATTTTACTAAGATCTATGGACACAATAAAACCTCAGCTTCTTGAAGCATTTTTAATGTTTTCTATGGTTTCTTAGCAAAGTTAAGCATGACCTGAAAAATGAAATTCTCTGCTAAGGAAAAATTTTAGAGAAAAGGCACAAAAAAGCCATCCACATTCACTTCCTATTTTGAGTTAGTCAAAACACTGCATTTTGGTCCATTTTAGTAATTGAATTTGTTGATGTAAAAAAATTTGGAAAGCGATGGATTTCATATAAATCACTCTTTGCCATTTCTTCTTCCAAAAGGAAGTGAGAGCATTCATTTCAATGTTATAAAACATTTAGATTATTAAAAGCATGTATCTTTGAAAGGCAAATATATTCGTTAACTTTTTATTCTATAATGAATAAAAAAATAGAATATGTGGAATAATATAATAGAATGCCATACTAGGGTCGTGTGAAAGGGCTAAATGTTTTTCCTAAATGTAGAAATATTTACAAGGCACAAACATTTTAAATCTACAGATGTAGATAGCTATTCTTAAGTGACACACAACTCAGTTGTGAAGTTCTCTGATCTGCATCTTATAATGCCACACACAAAAATAAATGTTACTGAACAAAACAGCACCTTGCAAACAGAATGAGGGAATCTGATTTAGCATAATCGTATATCTTTTTTTTTCACTCCTTCTTATTTTGTGAATCACAGAAAGTTTGGTTAGTGTGATATACAAGTCAAGGAGTTCCAGAATTTTTAAGTCTTCCACTTCTCGTTTATGTAATATGCTTTATTAAAAAGCAAGTAAGATTGTCTGCTTCTTATGTCTCTAAAATCTAAGAAAACTATCGACATAATTACTGTTGGCTAAATAAAGCTGTAATGTGAGTCTTCCTTTTTGTTAATAAAAGATTTACCAAGCAGTGAATTTCTTTTTAGTATTAATGTATCTTGACTGTGTATATTGTTTTTTTCTCTCCACAGCAAACTTTGCAATGTCCTTGATAGACTGAATGTGATTGCAGAAAGTGTAGTTAAGAAGACTGGATTTTTTGTCAATCGACCTGATTCCTACTGCAGTATCTTGCGGCCAGATGAAAAGTAACACATAATTTAACTGATACATAGTCAATAATAACTGCATCTTGGAAAGTTTTCTGGGATTTATTTGTCTATTACATTATTTCTTATTTTAAGGTTTAAATTAATGTGAAAAAATTAACACATTTATTAAGTTATAGCTAAAAGAATTGCAGTCAGAGACACATGTTAAGAAGTACTCACTGAAAAAGTACAGCTGCGCTGCTGCTGTTCTACTTTTAATGAATTCTTACTTCAAAACAATATTTGTAACTTGTAATCTGTGCCATGTGTGCTTGCATAAAGGGATATAAATTTTAATTTGTAGGATTTTAATTGTCACCCTTTTTCACTGAGCAGATCAATATATAGTATTATCTGTTATTTTTAAAAATGTTTTGTAAGGCATTCTGGTTTGTTTCTCTTCCAGGTGGAATGAACTGGGAGGTTATGTTGTTTCCACTGGTCGCTTGCAGGTACTAAAATATACTTTATTAATTCATAATTATAGTGATGTAGGTCAGCACTTCCAAAGTGCCAGTGAACCATTTCACTTAGATGCCTGACTGGTGATTCACAGAGTAATCTTAAATTAATATTTATGGTAAACAGCATTATTATTCTCCATCCCAGAAATCTAATCGGGAAATAGTGCTTAAGTTCTTGTGTGGTACCACAAAACCTTATGCTGCTGGAATTGTATTTTGCTGCAGACGGTCTTAGAAATGCTCATATTCTAAACTAGTTTCCATTACTATTTGGCATGTAGTTTTACCAGCGCGGTGAAAGTTAAAACAGCAGCATTTTAACAAACTGCATAATATAATGTTATACAGAGGAGGTGAGGAATAAGCATACTTAAGCCTGGTGACATAGTCATATACATAAAAATAGGTTATTAAAAGCATTTACACCGGTGCTGCATATTCTGTACGTTGTTAGAATTTCCATCACCGGAAGAAAATAAAACTAGAAACACTACTATTTTTAAGGTCCAAAAAGTGCTGGCTAAATTATAGACCATACAGTACTAGATTTATACTTGAATGTTATATTCTATTAATATATAATGTATAATATTATATGTGGTAATATATATTCTGACCACAAGGCATATTCTTAAGAAGCATTAGTTGCTTTTGACTTAGCATTTATAGTATTATACTTGTGAGTTAGAAAGCATGTGACCATTCCTTTATTAGCTGATCACTGGGATGTTTGCTGAGGGCTGATAAACAGCAGAGTAGATAGAATTTGATCTGTTTTAAAATAACACGTATCAACACTAGTTAGAACTCTTAATGTTAATCTTAAAGGTTTACCTGTATTAAGGGAATGATTTTTTTGTCTGTCTTTCAACTTTAATCACTTGAAGTAGTCACCATTGGCACGCATGTAAGCATTTGGATGACAGTTCATCATAGAATAGGCATCTTGTGAGTCACATCTGAAAAGTGCTTCTTTACTAAGGCAATAAAAGTTTAGCTGACTAGCTTGGATATGGCTGTATATATTTGAGCTGAAGAATTGCCCGTGCTGTTACAGTAAAATCTGTTTCTTGCAGATGCTCGTATTATAAAATAGCTTTGTGTGCATTACAGAATAGATGAATGGTGGTGCAAGCAGCATAAAAGAGTATGTGCATGGCTGTGGCTGTCAACATGTGTGTTGGTCCAGATATAGAAGCTTAAAATATAAGCACCGTCACAGTAGAACCACAGCAAGTTAGAAGTGTGTTGTATTTTTTTTGCAGTAGTTACAGCATACTTGAAAGTAAGACCTTCTTTGCTGAAGTATCATAGCTTTTCTTTTTAAGGGAAAGCTTTAGGGCTGTTTCTGTGTTGAAGGAGAGATGCAGCTGATGTGATGATGGAAGCAAGAATACTTTGAAAGTAGGCATTACAGCAGTCTGATGTGGCTTGCTAGAGATGAATTACTTTTGAATGGTTTTTTTTAGAAATGCCTTTCCTTGAATTCTTGTGAACTGATGTAATTTGAGTTTTAGAAAGTCTTGGATAGTAGGTAGAACTCATGAGTGCAGTAATTTTTTACTTAAGAAAAATCTTATTTGGATTGCTTTACTAGACTGGAGTTCTCCGAACCAATTGTGTGGACTGTTTAGATCGCACTAACACAGCCCAATTTATGGTGGGAAAATGTGCTTTGGCGTACCAACTCTATTCGTTGGGGTTGATTGATAAACCAAATTTACAATTTGATACGGATGCTGTTAGGTAAGCATGTCCTGGTGGGTTTGTGTTTGTTTTTTTTTAAATCAAGAGATTTAGGAAAACTATATCTATCTAGAAGAACAGTGCAATTCCTTCTATTGGACTGATTTAATGTTTATTAATCCAAGTTTAAAAAATCTTACGTACTTGCAATCTTCTTGAGAAAATCCAGTCACACTGAATATTTGCTCTTCAGGAAAAGTATGTTAATGAGAGTTCCTAGAAGATAACTGCTTGACTTCATTCTCTTTAAATGCCTAAACTTTAAGCTAAGAATTTCAAATAAATGTAACAAAAAAAAATCCCAGGCTTTTACACTTAGCTCACTTGCTTGAGGCTGAAAATGAATGTGAAACAAGTACATGGTTTAAAGTAGAATGCCAAACTGACATTTATATAGAAGTATATCTTACCTTGCTACTTTTCCTTTAAAGAAAATATGTGCTTTTTGATTCATTGAAAACAAGTGTTCAGCAAAGTTGTTCTCTCAGTGTCAATGATACTTATTCAAGCATCCTCAAACCATTTAAGAAAACCCAGCATTTAAACTGGAGTGCTTTGGGCATCAGGAGTAACTAAGCTACTTAATTTGTGAATATGCTTCAGAAATTAATGTAAGTCCTTGATGTGATGTGTTTTTATTCCTTAAAACTGTTGTCATGACTGTGAAACTTAAGGATTCATTACTGGTTTTGATGAGTGCTTTGATAGTCATAGAACATGGAGATGTGGGAGAAGAAAATATATTGCTTGTTAAACAGAAAGACTTCATTAGTACAATACCTTATTATTTCATCTCTTAGAATAATATTTACAGCAGTTTGATAGATTACACATTTTTGTTTTCGTTCAGATTATTTGAAGAATTGTATGAAGATCATGGAGACACGCTTTCTCTGCAGTATGGAGGTTCTCAGCTTGTTCACAGAGTAAAAACCTACAGAAAGATAGCTCCATGGACTCAGCATTCCAAAGATATTATGCAAACGCTCTCAAGATATTATAGTAATGCTTTCTCAGGTAAATTTAAAGTGCTTTCTTTTAAGCCGTTATTTAAAAAGCATCTTCCTTGTGATGTTTCAGTAATCTGCACTGGGTATTCTGATCTGATGAAGTATTGATATCCTGTGCAAATGCATGTTACAGCATGCAGCTTTATTTGACAAATGTGTAAGAAGTAACTTGATGTAAGGAGTATTTATAAAATGTCAACATGTAGCACTGAAATTGCCAGTGATATTTGTAGATCAATAGGGAAGCAGGTAGCTGTTATAGAGCTGTTAAAATGATAGACAGAATAGCTTCAACAAATACAAGGAAACTGGTAAAACTAAACACAAGTAGAAGGCTTCAAGTGGAGTATTTCTTGTGATGTTCCTGGGGACTTCAAACAAAAAGCAAGCTCCAATGCACGTATTGTTTTGTGGGAATAGAAGCTACTAACTGTTGAATCTGGTAGAGGAAACAAAATTAAATTAATAAAGCAAGGTCCGCCAAGTAAGTAAGCTATTTTTTTTGGTAAATAAGTTGTAAAATTGGTTTACTACTTTGCTAGCTCCTATGAGTCACTGATACTGTTCTACTTTGTTCTGGACAACACTGCTGAGAGAAAAGCTCTTTGAAAAATGCTTAACCGTACCTTATGCAACGTGACTGAAAAAGAAAAAAGCTTAGTATTTTTAGAAGTCACGAGAAGGATCTAGAAGAGTGAACAAAGGAGAGTCTAAGACATGTCAGAATGACAAACACTGAGTGCTGCCGTGTTCTAAATGTGGTGTCAGTCTGTAACTTTTTCAAAAAAGCTGGATAGCCAGGAAAGGAAGTAGCATTGCTGGGTTTTGGTTGTCTTTTTTTTTTTTCCCCCCCCAGAAGACTGCAATTATTTAGCTTTCATATGAACTTTAAAACAGTGAGCTGGACACTGTCTAGAATACTTCAGTAATCTCTGGTTTCTTTGGCCAAAGTTATTACTTTTGTTAGTGACCATTCTGTGTATGTAAGAAAATGTGAGAGCACGACTTTTGAAGTAGTGTTTCTGAATGTAATTCATGTCATTTGTGTATCATATTTGCCCAAATTAAATAAGAAATGGAGAGCTTGTTTATTTCAGTGATATATTCTCTTATTATTTGCAGTGGCAGTAAGATACTGCTTCATCAAATCTTGTACCGATAAGTACAAGATGGAACAAAGCTCTGAAGCTGTTCACTTTTATGCCAACCACTTAACTGGTTAGGTCTGTTTGCAAGGACAGTCACAATATGCATGTGTTTTAGTACTAAAAGAATTTGTTCTGAAAAAGATGTTACAGAAGAAAGAAAGAATACATAATGAAAAAAATCCATCTTGTCACCTGAGCAAACTTGTAGCTGTGTACACAAACCGATGTTAGTCTTCACTGAAGTCAGTATGAAAAATGAAAGTTTCATAAAGATGCTGCACACTTCGCTCAGTTTATGGTTTCGGTATTTGAAACATAACAGTCAGTGTTTTAGTTACTGCGTTTTTAGTATGAAATCTTGAAAGATTCATTCCAGTGAAAGTTCATTGTCCAACACTGCCTGTTCAGATGGCATCTGCAAGCCCTCTAATGTGACACACCGAGTTTATTTTATTCTTGAAATTTTTCTCAGAAAGCAGAGATAAAGGAAGCATTTTTTAAAAAGATTCTGGTTTGCTGTATTGCACTTGTTAGTACCCATCGTATATCGTTTAAAACACAATTAAAAGTCTGAGGGCTGGCCAATTCATGAGCCAGCATTTCCTTGCATTTCTAATCTGAGAAACCTGCAAATTTTATGTACCACTAAAAGATTTTAGTGATTTGCTTATGTCATGCAGAATATCAGATTCAGAACAAGATTACAAGCAGGCTGCTAACAGTGCCTCCTAAATAAATCACTTAGCCACAATTATCTATTTTAAAATATACATGATTGTAAAAAATAAGAAAATTATTTCATCTATTGATGTCAAAGCTCTTAGGATAATCACTACTAATTAAGTTGTACAGATGAGAAAAAGTAAGGTGTGTATTGATTGCCTGGAGATATTAATCCAGTAGATAAGACTTGGACTTTAAAGAAAGATAATTATGAATGCAGCTTCACTCTAATTCATGGTACATGGCTTAGCTTTTATATAGATTTTCTGTACCTATAAATTTGTAATATGTTGCTTATATAATAGAAGAGTGAAGAATTTAAAAAATGTACTCAGAATCAAGTTAGTGACAGAAAAATAGAAGAAAACCAAGGTTTCGTTCTAAAAGTACAGGACAATTAATTTTATGGTAACTTAAATATTACAGATTTAGACAAACATTCTGACCCTTTTTTCATGCATGTTTTTAATTCTGGGATTTGAGAATAGTACAGTGTCCAATGTAGTTTGGGAAATCAACTGTTTGAAGTACCCTGGTTATGAGCAAATTACTTGTACCAAAAAAACCCATAATCCAACTAAGAATTAGGTGTCCTTTCAACACCCTCTGAGGCAGGCATTCTAACATTTTTTTTCATTTATGGTTGTCAAAGAACTTAGGTAATAGTATTGCAAATAACATTCTTCTAGTTTATATGCCTTTAAAGCAATGTGACATTGCAGACTTCACTGCTAGGCTTGCAACATACATAATAAGCTTCTGGAATCTGAAATAATCTGTTTATCCACAAACAGGACTGGACATAGTAAACTACCTTGTAGTACTGGGTGAAAGTCAATTTAATTACTATAACCTTTTAGTCATGAGATGTTACAGCCCCATTTGTGTTGAATCTCTCATGATTTAGTAATTTGTCGTGTGGTGCAGTTGCAAACTCAGGTTGAGAGCAGTAGATTATTTTAGACTAATCCAATTAAACAGCCCCTTCAGTTCCTGTTTTCTCAAACAGTCTTAAAAATATGCCAATATACACGTACATTGCAGTATCTTTTGCAAAATCAGTGCAGTCTTCCTGGTACATAATTATAGCATTCAGTGCTAACAGTAAAGGGAGAAAACCTGTTTGCTCTTTTGTATTTGCTCCACAGTACATTGACACATTCTTACTTATTTATTTTTGAAAAGAGAGATTTTTTTTTTCCTACCCAGATAAGAAAATTGATCTGAAAAGCTCGATATCTTGTTTTCTCTGGCCAGTGATTCAAAGAAAGACAAAAACTTTCATTACGTTTGTTGAAGATTAAGTCATAAAATTGTTCAAGCCTTAATGTAAGGAACGGGGGAGGATTGTCACTTTTCAAGTTAGCTGTCTGCTTCCCTGGTCACATAAATGTTTGTGTCTGCTTGAAGACTTACGCCCCAAGAATCTTTTATGGAGGTTTGGGGTTTTTTACCTGGTTTTAAATTGTGGGTTGAGAAGTAAGACAATAGAAGGACGTTTTCTGCTAAATGTCCTATATTTCTGTTAAGTTTAAAACACAACTGAAACAGCAAATGCTACTATAGACCATTTCTAACGGTGAATTGGTTAATTCAGTTGATATGAGTTTAAGTTCAAGCTGTTTTTCACAGAACAAATTTCACTTAGTTTTATTTCATTTTAGCATCTATGATGTTAAGTAGTGACGTAGTTTGTTAACTGAATTATCTTCTTATACTTTAGTTGTTTTACAGTTAGTTAGCAATTTCAGTATGTCTTCTGTTCGGGGAAGATGAAGCAATGGTAAATGAGCTTTCAGAAATTATTACCAATTTTAATGTGTTTGCTCAAGTTAGTTAATTTTGTCTCTAGGGCTCTTCCAGTTTTCTATGCTTAAAGTACACAGAGCTTTCTGGGGTTTTGTTCAGCACTTTCTTTAAACCACTAGCTAAATAACTTACCAGAAAGAGAGAATAAATGTTATTGCGTATAACTTTTCCTTTCTTTTTAATTCTCACTGTCCTTAACAAGTGAAGTTTTTTAATTGTTGGGTTGCTTTTTGTTTGCCTTTTTTTTTCTTTTCTCCAGACTATTTTACTGAGTTTTCATTAGCTTTCTTGGACTGTTCCTGGCCTTCCAAATTATCTCCTTATGTCTTGGTGACACTATTTTGCAGAAACAATATGCCTGCAATCCATAAGGAACTACATAAGCTTTTCAGTATTAATATGAGAAGAGTTATTGTTTATAAGTTGATCCTCTTAAAAAAACAAGGAAGCTCAGGAGCCCGAGGGAAGATAAAATAAGTATCTTTTTGGCAGAGTGCTCTGAAGGGACAGTAAAAGTGTTTGGTGAGAGTATTAGTGGATAGAAAAGGAAAAAAAAAGCCAGATTCCGGATGAAAGGCCCTCTAAGTAGAGAAGGGAAGCCAAGCAACATCAAGAGGTTCTCCCTTTCTTTTCCTTTTCCTGGTGCCTTGCTCTGTTACATCATGTGGCTTTTTACGGAAGATTCCACTTCTAAATATTGACCTCGACTATTGCACACTTCTGCAAAATGCCATCCTTTTCTATAATCCTATTGTTCTACACAGCACTTCATTTGTCAGCTGCTTCTGTGTCTTAATTCCCTGTAAAAAATATTCTGTGCTGTGCAGAGGGAAGAGACATTCCAGTTCTGGCAAGAAGGATGTATTGACTGAAACTTTGGTGGTGGCAGAGATCCAACTTTGTTCTTGCTGTCATACCACTGCTTTGTGGATTCTGCCTTTTTTTTAACCTGCTTTCTGGTATATAGAGACTTTAATTTGTCTTTTTGATGCAGTGTGTAGCTAAAGGGACACTCAGCTCTTGTAATACTCTCTTTGAAATGTGGAGAGAAATGAGGCAGTAGCAATCTCTATGGAACTAGTCTGAACTCTTCTTTGTCTGATGATGACTGAAGTGGAGACTAGAGTGGAGATGAGAGCTTTCCATATACTAATTCCACAGAGCACAAATAGAGCTCAATTCTCCACCTATTCCCCTGTAGCTTATCCTTTGTGTGTAAGCCTTCCTCTACCCTTAGGACCTGATGATCTTAAGGTCCTCTCCAACCTTGATGTTTCTATGAATCTGGGATTCTATGACTCTATCTGCAAATTTGTCTATATCAAAGTTCACCATCCTCAAGCCCTCACCTGAGTTCAGGATTTCTTCATATCTGTTGTAACTCATCTTATCTGCAGCTGGGTAGCAAGAGAGATTTTAAAGATGTACGCAAATAACATTTCTTGTCATGCTTCATCTACAGTGGTATGTAACTACTGGATTTAAGCACTTGCCTTCTTTAGTTTGGTGAAGCTTAGAATACAAGAGAATTTGATTTAAACCAACAGGAAAAAAAGAGTCGGAATTATTAAAAGGTGTTTATGAAGTTTAATCATTTTACTGACTTACGTTTTGGCTAGAAAAACCCGAAGAATTCATAGCTTGTGTGTTATGTGGGAACCTTGTGTATTGTATGGTTACTGTTTAGTTTCATGAAATCATCCGTTATTTATACTGCAGTAAATCATCATGACATGTCAGTTTTCCTGAAACATGCGTAAATACGTGCCCATGCTTCATGCATACACGTATATGCAGAGATGGGAGATGGGGCTGCAGCGTGAGGTCTCACTTCTGCAAAGCCTTGAAGCAGAGCCTCAGCTCCTGCGAGAGAAGCCAAGGAAAGAGGCAGTGCTGCTCCCAGCCCCACGTGCGCTGCACCGTGGCAGAAGGTCAGGGCTAAAGGAAGTTTTCGTTACGGTGGTTGAAGCCCAAAGGTCCTTGTAGAAATCGTAGGACATACACACTTTGTTTGTGAGGATCAAACTTAAGCAAATGTCTGAATGGGCTTGAGCTCTGCAGTGTTCCTGGCGTTAAGTGTACCTCTTGTCTAACAGATGCAGACAGGCAAGATTCTATCAATCTCTTCCTGGGAGTATTCAAGCCTACTGAAGGAAAACCTCATCTCTGGGAACTACCCACTGATTTTTATTTGCATCACAAGAACACCCTCAGTCTCTCGCAGTCCAGGCGAAGGTATTTTGCTGTTTTATGGGATTTTTTTGCTTGGTATTGCTCTAACAGATTTAAAAAAAAAATATGTGGTGCTAACCAAATAATTTGGTCAGCCTTTCAAAACTTTGCTTGCTGTTTAAGTTTTTGTAAAAAACCGTCAAGAATTTACACAAAATGTTGGATCTTTTGAAGGATTTGCTTTGGTTTGTTATTTTTCCTGTTGTGCTGAAAAAAGACACTTCGTTTAATCTAAAATTTTGTCCTGCAGTGTGAAATACATCACTATTTTACTGAAGTACAATTACAACTGTCTCATTAAGTAATATACAAATGCATTTTTGATGGTCAAATTTATTAACTTGTTGTTGTGTTTAGGAGGTAAGGATAGCCTTTGTTTATTAAGTGTAATGCACTTAGTCTGCAGCTATGCACACCAAGAAGCCCATGATTTTCTGCGTACCTTTCAGCCATATGTAGCCTGTTTTGAAGCCTGTTTGTCTTCATTTTCATTCCACTGAAGATGAATGATAATATACAGAAATAATAGAGCTAAAGCATAGAATTTTTAAAGTAGTTTTAGAGTGTTTCACAATAAATACCATGTGTAAGAAAAGAAGAAAAATAATAAAGACAGTACTAGACTTGTTAACTATATCATCTCTTTTAGGAATTTTATTGCTTCTACCTGCTCATTTTGCAAGCCTTAAAGCTCTGTATCAGAAATGGTAGTTCTGCACATCTGCACTTAGATTTTAGTCTGGGGAAAATCGCAAGTGTTTACACAGTGCGTTCAATCCCCGTTGACGGTTTATTCCATTAACACGTTGTGGCAGCTGGTATGTGATATGCCTGTTTCTAAATTTCGGTCCTTTTGTATTGTCTCCTGAGGCTTCCTGATCAAGTGTACATCCAACTGCTATTTCAGGCACACATGAAACACGCAAAATTAATTTTATTGCTTATTGGTTCCAAACATTATATTAAAAATGAATTCAGCTGATATATTACAAACCTATGAATGTCCTAGTCTCCTTTTAATGTGTTATGCTGTCAACAACTGTCTCTTACTTGTCACAGATACTGTTTTCAAATGAGGTGGAACATTTTTTAAAAAAAGTTGGTGTTCTTCATTTACTTGTTAGTTTTACATTTTATTCTGCCCAGAATTTCTTCTGAGCACTTATACAACCAAAGTGTTTTCTCATGTGAACAAATTGACACCTCCATTTAATAAATCATTAGGTATAAACAGCTCTTCCAAGTATTTTTTGTTTCTACTAAACTGTGGACAAGTTCTTCGTATAACTTCTTTCTGCCTCTCTGTGCAGTACCTCTTTTGGATTATTTGGGCACAGCAGCAAAGGAAATAATGAAAACTCATAATGAAATCAAGGACATAGGAAGATAAGGAAGATTTTGTTTCCTGTCATTGACTTCTTTTGACTCTGTGCCTTTCCTGTATTGTATTTGCCTCTCCATCAGAAAGAAGATGAGTATAGAATAGATGAGATAGAATAGATGAGATAGAATAGAATAGAATAGAATAGGATCATTCAGGTTGGAAAAGATCCTTGGGATCATTGAGTCCAACCAATAACCCTACTCTGCATAGCTCAGCCCTAAGCTGTATCACCCAACACCACAACTAAACACATCCAGGGATGGTGACTCAACCACCTCCCTGGGCAGCCTATTCCAGTGTCTGACCACTCTTTCTGTGAAGAATTTTTTCCTAATGTACAGTCTAAACCTACCCTGTGGCAGTTTGAAGCCGTTCCCTCTTGTTCTGTTGCTAATCACCTGTGAGAAGAGACCAGCACCAACCTCTTTACAACATCCTTTCAGGTAGTGTCATGTGCACTTTCATATAATTTGTAATTCATGTGAAAGGATGGTGAATATGGAAGAGGAAACTTTCTGTTGCCACATTACGTATCACTTATGCAAGCAGCAAAACTGGATATGCCTGCATAGTTTCTGAAGGCACTGGAGAAAATGGCTTGTTAGCATGGCCTGGTACAGTATTTCCAGAAGAGATGGGACCATCAGGCATAACTCATTCCTATCTGTCCAGGACATACACAGTTCTTGGATTGGAAGTGTGTTGCTCTCCCTGTTCTTCACCATTTGCTAAGTCCCACTAACAAGTCTGTCTCTGGGCATTGTTTCTGCTCCAGATGGCTACATTGACATGAGTAGGAGATAACTGCATTAATATTCTGATTACAGCCCTTACAGTATTGTGAATACACACATATTTGTACTAAAAATCAGTAAAGACAAAATGTCAGCCCGAGTAATGAAATAAACTATCAGTATAATTTAGATAAGAAATTAAAATGTGTTTGAGAAGAGAACATAAAAATATGTATGAATACATGAATGAAAGATAAAACAGGCTTTATTTTATGAATGTTGCTTGACTTCATCTGTTTTTCAGAAATCCTGAAAAAGCTTCCAGCAGGGCGTATTTTTTGCTGTTAGCTACGCCAACATATAGTTCTCAGACTTAGACAGCTGTCACATCACAATGCATTTCTGTGTCTAGAAGTAAATGACAATCTGACAATTTTATTACCATTGACCTTCATCTCTTCATACCCTTTTCCTAAATTTTAGGATCTGGATAACAAGTGGTGGGTTGAGTACGAGTTGATGCTTTTTTTGTTGTGTTTGGGTTTTTTTTTTAAGACCAGAACAAGAGAAATATGTAAATACCTTCTACCTTCTACTAAGACCTTAATTTTTAGTACTGTTACAGGTAGGCATCTGAAATGTATTTTGTTTAGTGGAACAAAACCACTCCTCTCTCCATACTTGTATTGAGCTTCATGTGTTTAACTTCAGTGGCCTGAGATCAAATTAGTACAGTGTTGAAATCTTCCATCCAAGGATAATTCTTTATTTTCTTCCACAACTGAATTGAAAACAAACGTTTACTATAGTGATGCTGTGTGGTTGGGTAGTTGTTATGTGCAAATGTTTCGGCTGGATATAAGAGCAAATTTTCTGTATCAATTGTGTGTCTGTTTTCCCTGTACAGCTATACTTACTGGTGGACCACAGGTGTGCTAAAGCATTTACCTCTTCCTTTTGATGAAGGTAGGAACTATATTTGCTCCTTGCTTCAGAGAGTATCTTGAAAAAGAAGTTTTACTCACAACCGTTTTTTAACTTTTAGATCGCAGATCAGGGAGGGGGAGATGTTTTTATAATGTTTGTGGATTTTTTTCCTCAGAATGGGCTGATTTTTCAACCGCAGGATGCACAAGATACCTAATTGCCTAGAACTTGACCTCCATATGTTTATGTGCCATGGCACGCCTCATTCTTTTTTTTTTCTTGCTTATTAAACATACATTTGTAGTCATGCTGATGATTACATTCCTGTTGCAGATAACAGGATATACCTACTGTGTTTTGTCTTATTTCTCTGGGATATTGTGGAGTATGTTTTATTAGGAATTGTGAAGGGAAATCAAATTATGGTGGTCAGTAATGCATATCTATTAAAGATGTGCTGTGCTTCTTCTCAAGATCGTATTTTCTTTTCTTAGAAGGGATATAGTTGTAGGAAAATGTGTGGTAGGGTGGCTACATAAGCAGGCTACTGTTTGTTTAGATTTTTGCAGAGTCAGTAATTGTTAGTACAAATATCTTTTTTTTTTTCCATAGTGACATGTACTGAAAATAGACACAAGTTGACAGTGAAAAAATTCCACAAATATGAAGAAGAAATTGATATCCACAATGAGTTCTTTCGACCGTATGAGTTAAGCAGTTTTGATGAAACCTTCTGCTTGGCAATGACCAATTCTACACGGTATATTGTATTCCAGAATCATAGAATATTGTCATGTTTTGTGACTATAAATCCTTAAGTGGAAGTTGATTTGGTGTGAATTAAATATACATTTAATTTATTTGTTTAAATTTGTGTAACAATGTTTTTTGTGTGAAGTTTGTTCTTTTAGTTTTTCTTTTTTTAAAGTTCAAATTTAATGAACATCTAGGAACCGCATCACAGTACTGAAATGGAAATGCTAATCTAAAAAAATTCAGTTAAGGTAGCACCTAAATTCCCAGTTATTTTCTATTACAGGGTGCCAGATGTCTGGGCACTTGAAGGCTGAACATTTTTCTCTAAACTCAGCTCAGAGAGGCTACCTTCAAAGCAGTTGTTTTCTCATTTTTCTGCTCTCATTTTACAATTGTTTTCTTCAGTTCATTGGGTTCTCAAAGATATTTTTTATTGTTTTAGTTTTGTTTGTTTATTTGTTTGGTTTTGTTGTGGTTTTTTTTGTGGTTGATTGGTTGGTTGGTTGGGGGCTTTTTTTACCAATCAGCTGGATATTCTAAACATAATCTTAGTCACTCTTTATCTCAAACACTTCCAGGCAGGTTTTGTTGGGTGTAGCTTTTTGGGCAAGTGTTTTGAAAACAATGTAACTGAGTTACAGGGCTTCGTTAGCACAGGAATGGAGCACATTGCTCTAGTTTCCTTGTCAAGTGGTTGTGTTTGCAGCTGTTTTATGGGACTAAATAATGAAAATGAAAGCTTTTTAAATACCTAGGGGGGTTATACTTACATGTCTTTTACATATAATGATGAAGTTAGAACTTTATTTCCTTCTATAATGTCATTTTTTTAATCTGAGGTAGATGATAGAGGTGGTTCTTTCAGAAAAAAAAATTAACTCTGTGTTGAACTTTGCTAATTAATAGTTTTTCTTTTCTGTTTTGCCAGAGATTTTATGCCTAAGAATGTGGGGATTGATCCAAGTCCATTTACTGTTCGTAAGCCTGATGAAACTGGAAAATCAGTGTTAGGGTAGGTCTAAAATATGGAATTTTGTTCTGGTTTAATAGTAATGAAGTTGTAATGCGATATATAAACTCTATATCTTTGTGTAGCATATTCTCTGTTACGTGGGAAATAATTAAAAAAAAATCATTGGTATTATACTGAAGAGTTGTACACTTTGAAAATCATACCTAATTTGAGATTTTTATTTGACACTGGCGATTCTTTATTCAGCTTTGTTTAATCTTTTCTATTTTCTTTTACTCCTCTAAGTGAAACCCATGATAACATTTTCTCTAGAATAAAGATACAGGTTGTTAAAATTTGATCATCTCTTCATACCAGTGGCAACTGTATTATCTTATTGGAGATGCTAGGAATGCATAATAAATAAATTTTGAATATATAACATATCCTGAAATAGCATTAAATAGCATTAAATTCCAATTTCAACAACATGGTTTTAGGTAAAAATTGTTATTAAAATATTTATAGGTAGTATTATATAAAACAATTTGGCAACAGTTATTGGGACAAAGGAATGCTTCAATTAGCTGCTTTTGCATCCTGGCCTTGTTTTGTTACTTTATTTATTCCACTGTTGTGTTTCATCTGCTGTATCACAAGAGCTGTGGGGACTCTTCCTGAGTTCATTCTCTCTTTGTTACTTCATGTTAAGGAAACCTTTTGTCAGTAACGACTAAATCTGTGCTGTCACAACATTCTAAGTTCTTTTGAAAACTTGTGCTTCTATTAAAGTCTACAAAATTTGACTGTCTCATAAAGAACATCTATTGGTTTTTGACTCTGAGGGACTCACTGTCAGTAAATGTTGAGGGTAGACTATGCTTGTCTTTAGTAGAGCCTGATTTCGTGCCACTGATACTCCCTAAGAATGAGAAGAACAACTTTTCAACAGTTAATACAATTTACCTCTGCTAAGTATTGTGAGTTTATGGATACTTTTGAGGATGAGCTTTATTCTTCCGCTTTGGTATAATGTCAGATTTTGGACTAATTTCTCTCCAGATATTGCATTAAGTACTTGACCATTATACACTTTTCTCAGGCACTTTGCTTCAAGCTCTGCACTGTGATTTTTAGGAATTATTATGAGATAGAGAATCAGAACTCCCTGGGGATTGCTTGTAAGGCTTCACATGCGTTGGCTGCATGGCAGTGTAAAAAGCGGCCTCAATCTTCCACCTTACCCATATTTAGCCCTTGACAGAGGTTCTATCTTGCACATTTGTCATCATATCTTGATCTCCTATATTTCTGGAGAGTTTGGTCATCTGTTTTCATCTGTGAGTGTTCTGGTCCCCTAGGACAATTAGATTAGAGTCTTGACTGCTTTCTGAGTATGTGTTGAGGGTGGGGATATCACTCTTACTGGTGTTTGGCTACTTGCTCCATTGTTCAGCTGCTTTTCTTATGACCTTCACCTTATTTAGCAAAGTAGGAAAGATAACCTTAATTTTATCTAAAAAGAATGCAGTATGTCTTCATAGCTTTCTGTATATTTTAGTCTAAGGAGGAGGTAGTTTCTGCAGAGTCAAAAATATTTTTTTTTGTTTTTTTTTTCCCCTAAGGCATTTGTTTCAGCTGTAGGAGTTCTGATATGTTAATGTCCTGGGGGGTGGGATATGCGCTCAGATCGAGAACCTTTGGGAGAATTCTCCTGCTTGTTTATATGTGTTCCTAAAGAGTATAAAGTTTAGCTAATTAACTACAGGGATAAACTGCTGTCTGAGTTTGACTGCAAAAGGCAGAACTCTTTATGACAGTCATGATATGCTCCAGCGGAGCTCAAGTGATACTCCATGCTTTTGCTGATGAGAACACTAGAGCTACAACACAAAATAGCATTTGCACCAAACTGCAGGCTCCTGTCAAAGCCTCTTGGCATGCTGCTGTCTTCCTTCAGGGCCTTCCTTTAGAGTAAGTCACACGTAATGTCAGTGTATATATGGACAGTCACGTCAGCAAGGAGGAGATGTTTCTTCCCAGTTTCCAGAACTGATTTGTCTGTAACATATTCATTGCCTACCTTCCTGTCACTCTTACTCCAGAGTCCCTGAAAGATTGTGACAGTGTCTGAGAGAAAAGTGCAACCATATCTACGGCCAGTAGGAAAGGCTGAAGGGGACAGAAGGATGATACAATTTCTGAAGGGTTAAGCAATATATACCCTTCAGAGCTTGTTAAACCCAGTGTTAGCCTATTAAAATATAGGTGCTTATCTTAAAGAAGTCTTATAGATAAGGCGCCTCTTTGTATTGACTAGTATTGATAGAGAAATACATGTTGCATTAAAAAATGTTGCTGATTAAAGGACTACATTGAGGGGAGTGGTACAGAAAGGGAAAGGGAAAAAGTGCCATTGTGATTAAGATTTTTATGTCCAAGATTAAGAAAACAAGTGGAGTGGATGATGTTAATTAGAAAGTAAAACTTCTTCCCACTTCGAAACCAAAGATATTATGTCTCAATGAATGTCTCTTCATTTTCATTTACTCAGTCACAGGGAGAGGTTAACGTAAATAATTGAAGAATTGGTGGAGAAAAGCTGACATGACCCTTTGAGCTCTCTTAAAATGCTCTGGAATAAGAGGAGATTGACAAAAAGTAAATCTGTTGGAGGATTCCAAAGATGACCAACAAGTTGCTCCAGAGGGTAGAACTAATTTCCCCTAGTAAGATTGTAACCAAAATTAGGAATCTGGAATACTTGTTGTTGATATCTCACTGGATTTTTGAATATGCACTGCCTTTCATAACAGGAACAAAAGTAACAGAGAAGAAGCCGTGCTGCAGCGCAAAACAGCTGCGAGTGCTCCTCCACCCCCCAGTGAGGAAGCCGTGTCAAGTAGTTCTGAAGATGATTCTGGGACAGACAAAGAAGATGAAGGTGCTGTTTCTCAACGTTCAACTCCAGTAAAAGTGACTGATACAGGAGACAATACAAAAATCACAGAGGTAAGAAATTTTTCTGGCAGGCAGGAAAGCCAATCATGGACTTAAAATTCACATCTTTAAAGAAAAAACAATATGATAGAACAGTCAGGAGTAAAGCACTGAGAACTTAAATGAAAAAAAGTCTCTAGTGTAAATTCTTTGTGTAGATATTAGTACATCAGCTTGCAAAACTTTGTTATTATTCTTGTCACATAGTAGTGGAAAATAACATTTTTCAAAAAAATGAAAATTACTGCTAGAAACCTGTTGAATTCGAAAGATGCTCAGGACAGGTGTAACCCATTACATAAACCATAAAACATATCTGTTAGTGTGTTAATTCAGAGCAGTAGTGCACTTCTACTCGTCCCTTACCATACTCTGGCTCACATCATGAGGTGGTCTTGGAGAATGCAAATGGGATTCCATTTTGGAAGAACTAAACTGGGAGGTGCTTCTCCAGGAATCTGTCTGATTTACCTACCTAAGCAAGATTTAATCCATGGGACCTAATCTGGAGCAAACCCCCTGAAAGACACATACCGTGGATCTGTTCCTTTGGAATGATGCCTCGTGCTCAGGCGGATATTACTGTAAATTAATGCTCAATCTGGTTAAATTTCAACCTGCTTAATGTGAACACTTTTAAATTGTTGTTTCGTAATTATATCATCTGACAAAAAAACCCCACAACCTCAAACTAAAAATGCGCATGGTAATGTCACATTGTCCTATGCTATTACTTCTATTAAGGTTGAAGGTAATGGCAGGTTAATAATGGAATTGTGTATGCACAGTCATATGAAAAGAATGTTTATTCTCAGTTGTAGGCTATTAATCTTCTTTTGCTAGCATAACTTCAGTTCTGTTGGAAACCCTTGAGTGCTAGTTTAACGAAAATATTAATTTGTATGAACTATTGTGGAAATATCTATTTTATTAATTCATGTAACATTTCTTTAAATTCTGTCTTGTAGATACCCATAAAATGTCTTTGCAAAAGAATATACTGATGAAGACTATACAAATTTGGAAAGTACTTATGTTGTTCTGAGGTTTTTTTTAGAGAATTGAGGTTTTGTTTGAGTTTAGGGTTTTTTTAAGTCACAGCTAATTTAAATAGTGTTATGCTTACACATTATCACTTTTGAAGAAATTTCAGTATTTATGACCTTAGAGATTATAAAATGTAGTGCCTGATAGGCAACAGAGAATAAAACTGCCTTTTTTTCTGCTACAGCTCAAATTTTCATTCCATTCAGTCTTTACCCTAAGGTTGTGTGTTCTCACATAACAGATTTTTAGCCTCCTGCAAACTACCGTCTTCTTTCCAATCTTAACAAAGTATTTGCAAGAAAATAGCTATGAATTTTTCCAGTATTAATTTTGGACAATTTGGATTACTTGTCATGCCAATACAAGAGCATTTACTTCTGTTTATGCAAGATATTTTATCTGAAAAATTTCCACTATCTCTAAATAATAGAGTACCTGTTTTCTAGCAAGTCAGATTGTTTCTAGATGTTTTTTTTAAAAACAGAAATCCAGCCTGAAATTGTATTCTTGATTCTTACCGTTGCACAAGTTACATCATGTCAGTTTTTCCATCTGTGTATTGAACACACTTCAAGACTCAGACCTAAGATATCTTTTTTTTAGATTTTAAAGATGCTTAAATGAAAGATGTAAACACAAAGTATGATTTTATATAGTATTGAATATTAATGGCTTACAATTATTGAGCTGTTCTGATTCTTTTAGTAACACACAATGAAGAAATATTTTCCATTTTATTGGCACCTTTTCTTGCATTGAGTTTTATTTGTAATTTCCATTATTAATTTGTGGTGTTGCTTATTAATGTTGCAGTGCTGAGAAGGATTACCTATTCACTTACGCTGAATTGCCACGTTAACAATTACCCTGGGTTATCATTAATGTCTGCCTACCATTGTAAATTTGTTTATTCTCTTCACAAGTACAAAGCTTCTGGTAGATACATTATTTTGGGGGGCACGATGTTTACGGAAACTTTCTGTTCAGAAACCAAACATAGAAATTAGTAATCTGAAAGATTGTGTTGGACATGAGATTTTAGCATATTTACCAGCTGTTGGACTTGAGAATTGTTTTTTTTTCTATTACCGGGCTAAACAGAGATTCAAATACAGGCTTTTTGAGAAATGTTTTGAAATTATATTCCTGGCAATGGCAGTTATTTCTTGCATACACATATGTAGTTAGAATTTTAAAAAGAAGACCTGTAATGGAGGGTTTCAAAACTTGATGGCTAACTTTGATAATATAACAAGCAACGAAAGAACTATGACTGGAATAGGTGATCATCTCTTAGTTGATTAATTAAGCATCTATTTTCTAGAACTGGTAAACCATACAAATGTTTCAGATACTTTTTATTTTCCTTCAAGTTAAGCTTAAGAAACCTTAATGAAGCATGCACACAAGCCCTAAGTTTACAAATACTCCATTTTATGTCTTTGTTAGCTAAACCGACGACTTACTAGCACTCTGACCAGTATAAGCCTGCACTTTACCTTTTCCCATTTGTGAAAATGGGTTGTATAGTATTGTTCAAAAATACTACAAGTTTGGGTGAAAAACAGAGGTGTAGGATATTGTGCGTAAAAAAGTTGATATTTGTAAACCTGATATTTAGTATTTTTTGGTATTTTCTATTTTTTTACACCAACAACTGCAGACAGCAATTGTATCATTAGAGGGGGAGGAAAAAAAACCAAACGCATCTATTCGCATCTCAGAGAAGGAAATAATAAAATGCTTTTGTACTTTGGGTCAGGACATATATTTCCAAAGTTCTTCTTTGACTTTGGATCTTTTTGAACTAAAAGAAAACTGGTTTTGTGGTTGACTTACTTGCAGTCACATTTGTCTTGTCAGTAACTCCCCTTAGTTCAAGACTGAATCATTAGACATAGTGAGGTATTGCAGGTGCGTTGGATCCTTGTTGTAGTTGACTGACATGATTGTGTAATGTATAAAAATAGTTTTGTTAAACGCGAAGTTCAGAATTATTTCAGAATTGACAGCAGGAAATGTGAAAGCAAGTGTGGGAGCATGCTCTGAATGAGTATAATTTATTCTATATTAAGTTTCAACCCAGAACAGAATTTAATACCTACATCATTGTATGTCCCATAAGTATAATTTCTTCTAATATCTTGTTTTATCTGCTGTTATCTTTCAAGAATCCTTTACTTGTTGAACAAATGTCTTGAATAGTATTTTTAATAAATTATTTTTGCTTAAAGAAATAAATAAAATGCACAGGTTAAGATTACTATGTATATGAGAAACTTGTTTGGTGTTGCTTGCACTTCTGAAATTATTTTCAGGTTTAGAAAGAATTCCTTGCTTGAAAGCAAACTTTTGTTTGGATATTATTATGGTATCCTGAGTCTGACTCTTTCTTCTTATGTTCCAGAATGTGGTGCAATCAACAAAAGATGTGTATGGAGTCAATCTTTCAGATGTTCCTTCAGAAGATGATCTTGCAATATACACTAGGTGAGATAGATTTCCAGTGGTAATTAGTGAAAGATGGTTGGAACTAGTTAAATACAGTCTGTCAAAGTGCTGTCTTTCATTAAACTTATGTAAATTATAAATTTTAGAGATACTTGGATATATATACTATTCTGTTTTTAAAATCAAACTGTTTTCAGATCACAGAGTCACAGAATGTTCGGGGTTGGAAGGGACCGCTGATGTCTGTGTCAACTCTGATTTCAGCGGAAGTTATTTATTCAGTACCCTGGTGGAAGAGATTATTTTCTGAACTGCCATCTTTTTCTTCGGAAACCAGTCAGAATAATGGAAATTCAGTACTGGAGATCATTTGGAGAAATCCAAATTGAAGACCTTCTTAGTTCCTAAAAGCTTATAATGCTGTTGCCAAGAGAGCGATTACTTATGCAAGACATCAGGAAGGCAAATGAGTGGCATTTGCTAATAAACCAACGTTTCAAACACCTGCTTAGAATGTAGAATTAAGGGGAGTTTGAGAAAATAGGTGTAAGAAAACTATGTCATCTCGGAAAAACACATGGTGTATATTGAAATGAATACTAGTGAGACATGCATTGAAATGGGCTTTTGTGCATTTGTTTTTATTTTCTAATGTGTAATAGCCATGACTACCTTGTTATGTTTGAAGCCTTTTCGATTTGTGAGGGAAATTTTAATTCACTATGGTATCTTCTCATTTGGTGGTATGTGATGGTTAATCCTGACTTAGTTCATTAATCCTTTCAAATATTTTTTTTCTTTTAATTTAAAATCTTTTTCTGTTTATTTTTCTTTATGGGTAGCTACTTCTCTTGCACTCTTTAGTCCTTTGAAATTCCCATTTCTAACTATTTCCCATATGCTGAGTAATTTGAAGACAGTAGACTTGAATAGGGTTGAGGAGGTTTTTTCTCATTATCTCTGAAATGTTTAACTTCACCTATGCCTCTAACTTTGGTTCTTTATTTTAACCACTAGAAAATGGATGCCAAATTGACAGTTACCCTTGGTATACCGGATGGTTATTGTTGTTCTGCAGATGGTCCAGAGTGAGCTGGCGTCTACTACGAGCACTATGTCACTTTGTGCACATGAACAGCTCTGTGATAACATCCAGAATTGCAATTACTTCTCACTTTATCATTTTTCAGGCTAGACAGACATTCAGCATGGCATTACACTAGTGCTATGCATTTTATGGGGGCTTTGAAGCTCCCTATTCATATCTTTTTCAAGACAAAAAAATTTGCATTTATTGCATTTCTTTCAAGCAACACAGATTTAAAAAATAAAACTATTTCAAATTCCTCACCTCTTTTAGCTAACAAGACATAGTGCTTTTTATGGTCTGATAACACTGATTTATGTGGAAAATATAGATTTTACTGACATCCTGTATTAAAATGTGCCTTGTTTGAGAATAGCAACAATTTATTTCACTTTGTGATTATAGTTCTCACTTCAAGTCTCTTTCTGCTCATGTAATAAGAGAAACGGAGATGTAAGATCCTGACTCGACATTGTTGGGCATGTAACATATTTCCTTCTTTATTAGAATCAGGGACTTGCAGATTTAAAGTACCTCGGGCTAAGTTACTTTATGTCAGCTGATGTTTGTTAAGTATGTATGCAAATGAAAAGTAACTTGAATCTGTTCAGCATATTTTCACTGGGCTCATTTGTGTTAATTCTCATCAAAGCAGAAATCACAGAACCACAGATTGCTTGAGGTTGGAAGGGACAGGACGTCCCACATAATGTGAGGATGTGTACTGCAGATCAACTGTGAACAGTGTCTTACTGATGTCTGGCTTAATTTAGGCCTTATTTGTTTCAGAATATTGGGAAATCTGAAGCTATTAATAATTGCCTCTATTTCTTTCTTAAGCTTGTTTCAATAGCAAGCTCCTGCACTCTAAGATCATAGTTAACTTTATTTTTACTTATATTTCTCTTACTAAGAAATATAAGTATTTATTCGTTTGACATCCAACATGATGTGTCTTGTTTCTGAGGCTTTTGTTTCCACAGTGTAGAATCTGAATGGAGCAGAAAGAAAAGCCATAACAAGCTGTTTAGAAATGTGTTGTTCCTTTGTCTCCTGTACACTTCTCCATGCAATTGCTTTTACACTGTTGATTGTTCCATTAAAATGTAGTAAATATTTCTGAAATACACCAGTAAGACTATTTTTAAGCTAGTGTGCACTAACCATTAAGAAAGGCCCTTGTCCTCAGGAAGTTAATGTGTTAAATGACAATGAACATTTACTTCTATTTTCAGTAGCACATAAGTGTTGGAGAGTGAAGAAATTGAGTGTTAGATAACCACATATACATATATTTGAAACCCTCTGATTTTTCCTCTTAGACTAAGTGAGTAAGATTAGTGATTAACTATTTTTTTCAAATTTTGCTCCAATTCATTTTGCTGCATTCAAGAGGAAAAAAATAAAAGCCATAACAGTATTTTCCATCATCAGTGTCTTCCATCAAATATTTGGAGATGGGGGAATTCTCCTCAAATGTTGTGCTTGTAAGTGATCTGGACTGTAACAGCATTTCAGCTGAATAAACTAGTTGAATTTGGCTGAGGACTGGCTTAAATCTGAAACTTCTGGGAATTTCTCTCTCTTCTGTTGACTTTTCCCATAGGCTATTCATCTGACCGGTTGTTTTGAAAAAGACACAGAAAATTTTACCGTAGCGGGATACCTGTTTCATAGGAACAGAGACCTCTTTCTATGCCATGACATTCTAGGTGACACCAGTTAATAGGCAAATATTTTTCAGGCTAGAAGAAGCTGCTGAGTTCTCACATGTTCCTCCTACAAAGTTTTTAAAAATCACATTTGCCAGAGAGATGGTTCATGATCAGTAACATGACTTTAATACTGATTTTTTAGTGTCATTTTCTTTGAATTGTTGAATTTTGGGGACTGTCCTTTTACTTCATTTTTTTTCTCCTATCTACTGCTTTTCCCAGGTTTGTGCAGCTGGGACAGAGTCAGCATAAACAAGACAAGAGCAGCCAGCAATTTTTAAATCACCACTTGGATGGGGTTATAAATTTGTAAGTACTCTTTTTCTTCTTCCCCTACTTTTCTTTGCCTTTGTCATTACACCTGAAAAATCATCAGGTAAATTTAGTGTTAAATTGTTTGAGTCACATTGTTTTTACTGTTTAAGGGAATTCAATGTATAGCATGAAGAATTTGGTTCCTACTTCTTTCTTGCAATGCCTCATTTCTTGTGGTTTGTTTTGGGTTTGTGGGGGAAGGTGTGCAAGGTTTGTTTTTTTGGTTTTTGCAGTGCCAATATTTTTGTATTCAAAATTCTTAGCAGTCATGAGTTATCACAAGACAAAGTGCTGAAGCTGAATTTCTTCTTGCCATGATAGCTTCTGAAAGAGATAATTTGAAAGGGATTGGCTGACCTGCCTATTTCTCATTAAAATGGTGGCAGGACAGTTGGAACTAGATGATCTTTAGGGTCCCTTCCAACCTAAACCATTCCGTGATTTTATGAAACAAAACATTCGAAGTTGCAACTCGGTCTTTAGTGGTTATCTGAATTTATTTGTTCTGAGAAGGCTTTGAGGGGTCAAATGGGATTTTTGTGTGGTTTTTTTTTTTCTGGTGAGTGGCCAGGTGCTGGAGAAACTAGGGTACAGTGCAAATCGATTCCTGCTTTGTGCACTCGATGCCTGTCTGTGTCACAGGAGTCAGAAGATCTACACTAGCTTTAATCAGTATGCAGTGTTTTAACTGAAGAAAAGGCCATCTTGAATCCTCACAAAATGTCAGGGGTTGGAAGGGACCTCTAGAGATCATCCAGTCCAACCCCCCTGCCAGAGCAGGATCACCTACAGTAGGTCACGCAGGAACGCATACAGGCAGGTTTTGAAAGTCTCCAGAGAAGGAGACTCCACAGCCTCTCTGGGCAGCCTGTGCCAGTGCTCTGTCACCCTCACAGGGAGAAAGTTTTTCCTAATATTTTTGTGGAACCTGCTATGCTTCAGCTTGTACCCGTTTTCTTCAGAAGTATCTCCTCAGGTTTTTTTTGCTTGTCTGCTCTTTGTTACATGCTAGTTCTATGCATTTGTCAGAGATACTTTGAGCTGATAGGGCAATTTTTTAAAGCAGGTCATTTGTTACAATAGATACATTTTGCATAGGTTCTAAGGGCAGATCAAGTTCTGAGTGCTTTTTGTCAATCAAACACTTGAATGCTTTCATTCCAAAAGATTAGTACAGGACCCGTATTCAACAAAGCCAATAGTGGTGGGATGGTAGGAGGATTGCTATCCAGGTAGGGTAATTGCTCTCCAACCCTGCCACATGGAACAACTTCTGTGTATCCTATTGCAAATAGAATAATTTTTCATTACCATGAAAAATAACTCTTAACATTAAAATAGCAATAGGTGCACATGTTTAATTTATACTGAAATAAGGAATTAAACTGTGATTATGGATTGATTGTTGCTGTACAAGAATGGCCGCTAGTGATCAACCTGATCATTTGAATCTTTTCTTAGTACTAAGGGGTCATGATATTATCCAAATATACTATTAACAAAGCAGGTCTTGGAATTTAGATGTTCACTTCCTGACTTTCCACTTAACATCTTCCTGTAAACCGAGCACTGACAAGTTCCTCACTAAAGCACAAAATCACACAGAACCACGTCACTAAGCACAACATCTACCCGCAAGCAGCTTGAAGTTTCGCTGAGGCAGGTTTTTATTTGCTTTTGTCTCTGGGGCACATGATCTCCTACCCAGCAGCAGAGCCTTCCATACTTCTGCAGACCTTTACTGCAGACACTGATTTACAGAAGCCTCAGCTTTGTTTCCCATTCCTATTCCCTCTCTGCTGTTTCCCATTCCCTCTGTGCTGTATTTACCTAAGTAGGGATAAAGACTGGGGGTGTCTCTGTGGGGCTGAGAGAGCAGGATAACCTGAAACAGATTTAGTATTGTTTATGAGACAATACTGCCTACTATCATTTCTCAGTCATTTGGTATTATGTACATTTAAAGTGATGATGCCACTATGCATGATTTGTCATTACTAAGCTTACATTTTGTAGGTGTATGTGCCTGTAGTTTTATTATAAAATACATCTGATGAGTATCGAAATAGTAAGTTAGGTTGGCAAACTGGAAAACTAATTTTGAAATTGACAGAACGACCCTGAATGTTTTGCAGGGAAATGAAATTTATTAAGAAATTACTTTATAATAATAGGAATATTTTTTCTATGAATGAAGGCAATTCCTTTTGTGTAATTGCAAAGTATCCCAGCATGTCTGAAGTGTAGGAGATAAGCATTCCTTTTTTGGCCCCTTTAGATTAAATTATTCCCACTGCTGTGCTGCTGCGAAATGAACATGTTGAAGAAAGTCTATACCCACAATTCTGGTGGATTTTGGGTACTCGGGTGTTAATTTTTCTCCTTTCCCAAGTGTAATTTCCACGTTTTTTCAAATAATGGAAGTGTAAAAGTCATAGAGCCCACAAATCTGTGCCTGCTGTCACTCTTCCTCTTAGAATCATAGAATAGTTTCAGCTGAAAGAGACCTTGAAGATCATCAAGTCCAGGCTTTGTCCCAGCCTTATCAACCCACTAAACTATGTCCCCCAACGCAACAACCACCCGTCTCTTAAACACTTCCAGGGATGGTGACTCAAGCACCTCCCTGGGCAGCCTGCTCCAATGGCTGACAACCCTTTCAGTACAGAAATTCATCCTAACATCCAGCCTGAACTTCCCCTGGCACAATTTAAATCCATTTCCCCTCGTCCTATCACTCTCCACTAAGGAGAACAGACCAACCTCTGCCTCTCTACAACCTCCCTTCAGGCAGTTGTAGAGAGTGATGAAGTCTCCTCTCAGTCTCCTCTTCTCCAGGCTAAACAGCCCCAGATCTCTCAGCCTTTCCTCATATGACTTGTGTTCTAAGCCCTCTGCCAGCTTGGCAGCCCGCCTCTGTACCCTCTGCAGCACCTCAATGTCCCTCTTGTAATGAGGGGCCCAAAACTGGATGCAGTCACGTAGTTCCTTGTAGATAAAAATGTAATTAAGCCCCAGTCCTTTTCATAGTGAAATGAAGTACTCAATCTAAAACTCTCATTTCTCATCAGCAGTGAGATATAATTTAGGCTGAGGTTAGTTGCTGTGATTTCCACAATTTTCAAGAAAATAATCTTTGTATCCTCTTTCAATCTTAAAAAAATGTACCTCACTACCCTATACCTTGTGGCCATTTCTATGAAATAAATAAAGCCAATACAAAAAGAAGTATTTCTTATTTTTACAGTGTCTCCTCAGTGATATTTATGAAGTCAAATATCCATTGTAGAAATATTAAAGAGAAGCTCCTGGCTTAAATTTAGAAACTAAGTGTAGATTAGAAGCAAAAAATAGACACTTGAACAGGGTCTACAGTGATGCAGTGGAGAACTTGGAAGGATGTTGAAGTTCCTCTTTTTGTTCATAGAAATTCCCTGAAAGGAAAAATGGTAGATTTTCAGAGCTAAATGGAGCTGGACTACTTTTAGCACAATCAATTATCATGTACGTGAAGAAAGACTGTGAGTATAATTGCTGTTGACTGACACAGTGCAGCGGCTCCTTGTTCCCCAGCACTCATTGTGGTGTGGTTTAAATAATACTGTAGAAAAATATACTCTCAATCAGTTTCAAAATGTACTGCTTTACATCTAGGAGTATCAGAAATTGGATTTCCTCCTGAGTGGGGAATTGAGCATTTTTAATTGCTGCAGCACTTTTGGAGAAGAATGCTGTGCTTGTGCCTGTGCAATATATAGCAAAGATGCTTGTGCACTGACTTTAATTCATCCGTTAGGTATCTACTCTCTTTGGTTTTGTGGGGTGCTGGTGATTTCAAGCAGGAGAACACTTTAGTGAGTGATACCTGCAGCATGGTCCACGGCTACGTTCTCAAATATTTGGAAAATATACCCCGTCTTCAGAGACATATCATTGCACGTTTTCAAAAGTTCCCTTGATGTTAAATGTATATTTTTTTTACTTTTGTTTTTTATCAAGACTACCTACTTGTCATCCAAGTATTGATCAAACATGACACAAATTGGGTAGCAATATCTAGAAGTTAGCAGCTGACTATGTACAAGCAGTATATGGGGTTTTTTACTGTTTGTTCCTGTGTATAAGCACATTATGTGCATTATTTTCTCACCAAGATAAAAGTAATGAAGCAAATTTCAGTGAAAAATTAAGCACTCTGTTTTCCATTTTTCTTAAATACTCTACTGGAGTATTTTTAATCTATAACTGCACTTTATAGAAGTAAAAATAGAGCAGTACATTTTTTAGTTATAATGAAGTGGTTAATGGCTCTGGTTACTTTTGAAAGCTTTTACCTCAGTTTAGAGCAATTAGCTTCTTCATTCAGTACTTACATATGACTTCTGTAGTATAAGATCTATTTCTTGGAGAGGATTAGATGAAGAATAACTACATGGCATTTTCACAGCTTTATAACTGCTCTAAAGAAAGAGTTGGTATTGAACTTATCTTTCTGTATATTCACGTCATAGGAATTCTTAAGGGGTTTCTTAAGTTGAAAGGCAGAAGTTAATGAATAAGGGATGTTTAGAGTGTTAAATATTTTTATTTTTACATTAACCACATGCAAAATAGCTAAGTAGTTTCTTGACACTGCTGTGGAAACAGTGAATCAAAAGGTATTCATGATTAGTCAATGAGTAAATTTAGAAATTGCAAGTTATCTTGGATTCTCAAGCATGTTAGTTTCACAGCACAGTGCTTTTTGCATGCTTTCTGCTTCAAATATGCACCCCGATATGTTGCTTCACATCAGAAAGTTACATGAACTTCAATGCAAACATGTATTCACAAAATACAAAATCCTTGGAAAGGGTGAAAGTATTGTTTATATTCTGTCATCAGTTCACACTAAGCTTAAATTACAAAGGTGTCTTATCTTGTTGCTGTCTTCTCCTTATAAGGGGGCAGTCAGGATTTCACTTTTAAAAAAAACCATAATGCAACCAAATGTA